GACAGGACTGGTGGATTCTGCATATATTCCTTCAAATGGGTCAATGCTTGTCATTGCTCATCTCCCCAGACCTGTCTTCCATGACTCCGAATCGTGTCAAAGAACGGCTTGCAGCGGTCTGACAATTTTGAAATGAATCGACTTAATGCAGTTATTCGTCCTGTGAGGGCTTGCACCTCTCTGATTGTCTTTGGCTCGGTATTCTTAATCAAAGCCTCTGCTTGAGCGGGGCTAACTTCGATGCCTCTGCGGTTGACCACGTGTCCCAAAAACTGACCGGAACTCACACCGAACGAGCACTTGGTTGGATTGAGCCTCATACCATATCGCCTCAGCACATCAAATATATCTTGCAGGTGTTTCAGATGATCATTCTTCTTCCTACTCTTTACCACCATATCATTAATATAGGCTTCCACAATCTTTCCTATTTGATCCTTGAAAATTTTGCTAACAAGTCTTTGATAAGTTGCTCCCGCATTCTTTAGTCCGAAAGGCATAACTTTGTAGCAGTATGTCCCTCGCTCGGTTACAAAAGAAGTTTTTTCTTCATCTGCCGGGTCCATAGGGATCTGATTATAACCTGAATAAGCGTCCAGAAAGGTTAAGCGTTCATACCCGGTGGTAGCATCCACCATTTGATCAATCTTTGGCAGCGGGAAGCTATCATTCGGACAGGCTTTGTTCAAATTGGTGAAATCAATGCATACTCGCCATTTCCCATTCTTCTTCTGCACGACAACGACGTTGGACAACCAATCAGGGTAGTGTACTTCTCTGATAAACCTCGCATCAAGCAGCCTATCAACTTCCTCGGCTATGATTTGGTTGCGTTCTGGAGCAAATCTTCGTTGCTTCTGTTTTACTGGTTTGAAATTGGGATTGACATTCAAAGAATGACAGGATACGGAGGGATTAATTCCAGGCATGTCTAGGTGACTCCATGTAAATACATCGGCATTGTGAGACAAGAAGTCAGCTAGCTCTTGCCGCTCTTCCCTGGTCAGTCTTGTTCCTACTCTGGTAGTTCGTTCTGGCCTGGACTGATCGATCTGCACATCCAGAAGGGGCTCTTCGGTCAAGTCAACTGACCCCTCCACCCTGTTCTGCTTGGGCGGAGGTTCCTGTAATTGCTATCTGGGGCTTGCCGATCGGACGGGCGCCTTCCCTTTCCCAGCATACTTTAGTGTGACGGAATAGCACTCTTTGGCTGCAACCTGATCCCCACGAATGTTTATTACCCTATTTCCATCGGGTCCGAGGCACCTCATGACCTGATGCAAAGTTGAAGGTACTCCTTGGACTCTGTGAATCCATCCTCTTCCCATCAGGAGATTATACGAAGGGTGAATCTCTACAACCACAAAAGTTTTCATAAGAGTTCTTTCTGCAGCTTGAACTTCTACTTCCACCATTCCGACGGGCTCTACCCTCTTGCCATCGAATCCTAACAGGGGATTTCCAGTGGGCTTGAGCCTCTCCGGTTTAATCTCGAGCCGATCAAATGTGTCCCTCGGCATGACATTCGCACTGCTCCCGAGATCGATCAGAACTCTGCACACCAAGCAGTCCGCCACTGTCAAACTGACTACCAACGGGTCTTCATGGGGGATTTGAACACGCTGCAGGTCTGTCCTGTCGAACTTTATCTGTATCGATGTGATCTGCTGGTGTAGAGTATTCACACTGCTGACCCTTTTCTTCATCTGCGCCTGCCGTAGGCGCGCTCGGAGCAGCTCATCTGAATCTTCGCTGGGCTCAGGTCGACCGTGGATAGCATTGATTATACGAACTGGTTGTGAATTGTGGGAGCTTTGTTTATGGCTCCTTTTTACTTGTTCCATCGGTCGATTCTGCTCTGTCGCCGAGCCTTGAATGTAACTCGCGAACTCCCCTCTAGCTATCAACATCTCCACTTGCCTTCTCAAATTCCTACATTCATTAGTCTGATGACCGAAATCGGAATGGAAAGCACAATGTTTAGTCTGATCCCTCTGTTCGAGGGGTTGCCTAATTGGCAGTGGTGGATGAAACTTATCTTTGTTCTCCTGATATAGCCTCGCCAGAGTGACCTTCAGCGGAGTGATCAGCTCTTCCTCCCTGGACCTCTTTTCTGCCTTCCAGGAGGTCTGACGCTGCGGCTGAGCCTGCTTCTGCCTGATCTTTGCCTTGGACTTCTCCTCGGTTGACATGAGCGACGCTGTCCGAGCATTGGCTGCCTCCTCTTCTTCTAGGCGCACAAAGCCGTCGGCTCTTTCATTGAGTTCATCCATAGTCGTCGGCGTGTTCACTACCAGACTGGTATGGAACGGAGTGCCACGTGTCATGGCTAACTTGAAGGCTTGAACCGCTGTAGAAGGGTGGCATTCGATCACCATACTCTTAGTGAGATTAAACTTGGTGAGAAAAGCCTAGAGACGTTCATCTTTGTGCTGTCTCATTGTGAATAGGCTTGAGATGTCCTTTGGCGGACGCTTGTTCCCATAGTACTGACTTATGAACCGATCGCACAGATCTCGGAAGCTACCAATGGAGCTCTTAGGTAAGTTCTTGAACCAGCTGAGCGCCGGTCCAGCTAGGCTTGTAGGGAAACATTTGCACATTAAAGCATCGTTTTCCGTATTCAGGGCCATCTTCAACTGGATATGGTACACATGATCGATCGGATCGGTTGTTCCGTCAAACAGAATAAATACTGGCATAGCAAACTTCCTTGGATGAGGGGCATTCAGGATCTCGTCAGTGAATGGTGAATCAACCGTTCGAGCTGCGGATCGGAGCGCTTCATTCTCTCTTTGGCGCCCAGTGGTAGCTCTGTGGGCTACGGTTCTGCTCTCCGAACCGCGATGAGTGATTGTAGCCATGGAAGGCCGGTAGGACGGATCGAACGACCGTTCCTCTATGAGCTCTCTTTGCCAAGGCGACGCAACTTGGCGGCGATCAACCTCTATCACCTCCTCTCGGTTGAACCTTTCCCGATGCGGATCTAAGGTCATTGCTTCATTCTGTCTGATCTGCTCATGTCGCGGATCAACGTGAGTCGATCCTTCGTGATCCTCAACTCGACGAGCATTTGGCGGCAAATCACGGTGGAGAGCTGACTGACTGTTCTCGTCCTGCTCGCTTTGATGCGCGATATTAGATTGAACACCTCCTTCTCCGGCCGGAGGTGGACGCGAAACCGCGGGCATTTGCTGATGTTGCATTCCAGCTTTCAATTCTGCATTCTCTTTTTTGAGAGCCTCGATCAAGTTCATCAACTCCTCAAGCTTTGTTTGCTGGACAGCCTCCATCGGATTGGAGCTTTCACCTATCATTATTCCTGAACGGAGTAAAGGCATTAATCTCAAGTTCGCGAGTAGATCCGAGCTTCGTGAGTGGGAATTTTTCAGATCTGGTTTCGAATTCTCCGAATTATGCTCACGGTTGACGAGATCTGAATTGTTCGAACTCTAAATCCGTCAGATCCTGCCACAATCGAACAACTCGTTGTTGCGTAGATCTGAAGCCACTTCTGCCAAAGCTTCAGGAACTAAAATTCCTCCAGAGTAGGTCACAATCGCTCAGATCTGGATCCAACTCCCAAAGATCGTGTCTCGATCAACCGAATTGGTCTGAATCCACGCGATATTAATCATTGATCAACCAATCTTCCATGCGTTCCCACAGACGGCGCCAATTGAAGATACAAGAAATTCCCTATCTCTTTCTCTCTCTAGAATTCTTGCATTTCAACCAAAAGAATATCTCCCCCTTTCTTTCCATTACTTCTCCTATTTATAGATATTTACAAATGTTGATGGACTGCTGGATCTAGGCCCGTTCCTCCATGAGTCCTGGTCATCTTTGATGGGCTTATGCGCGTTCGGCCCATATAGCAGTGTCTTTCTATGGGCCTGACCCATCTGTACGGACTGAATGTCGTGTTTGCAAGTCATATCCGGCCCATGTCATCTCGGGCCTCCTCAAAAGCCCAAGAAGCGAAATAAGATATCTTTTGGTGCATAATGATCATTTAAAATATTTGAACGTGAAAATATATGAGAATTGCTCTACTGATAGATTTTTACGTAGAATGATTATAGATAGAAGTGTGATAAAATTAAAAAAATATTTAATATAAGTAACAAAAACGTAAATTAAAAATAGAAGCTCATTCGTGATATAAATGACATATGAAGATATATTTTCATATTCCTTACTTTACATTAAAAAGTATCAAATCAAATATATTATAATTTATTATAATCTTATTAGTAACTTGAATTTACACCACATGTATCTGCACGTACTTTTTTGTTAGTATATATATATATATATATAGGAAATAATTCTAAAGGATAATTTTCTTTCCAAAAATTATGTTTCATAGTTTCGAAAAATTAAGAAAGAGACATTAATGATGACTTTCATGATTGACCTTTCAACTAATTCGACTCAACCGAAATAAGCATTGAGATTAAAACTCTAAAAGCTTTTCAAATCACCGACAAGTGCAACCAAACCAACCCCTCTAGAATATAATGTTTCGGCTCCACGACCTAAAACGAAACACTTATATATTGTCGTGGGTCCCACAATAAGTGCATCATACAGTTAGAAGTATTCTTGATATTTAATTGTCATTAAATCAGTAATAGATGTGGCATAGAAGTTATTTTCAGTAATAGGCTCGGTCACACTTGATCCTGACTTCCGTTCCCCCATGGGATCACAGGAGTCACCGACACAAGTCCAATTGTTGGATCTAGTACCGTCATAACAATTGACCACTGCCAGCTGTATACCATATCAACCTGTATAGATCACCTGTAACTATATTTTCTGCAACTCCTACTCTTACCAATATTCAGTTACCACGTCAAGCACATATATATTTATGTTCTAAATCAATCCTGTACTTTCCTTTCAAATTGACAGTAATACCCTCAAACCATAACGCGGGACATTATTATTGGATGGATATCACTAAACATAAACACTTCCCCACTTTTATTTCTTCCCTCCCTCAATTTCCGTCATTCCTTTCCTTTATCTTCTTCCTTCTTCTTCTTCTTATCATTTGCTTCTGCAGATCTCTCTCTCACTAAAACTTTCTCTCTCTAGAACACGCAAAACAAACATGGCCAGAATGATCTTGATGTTGGCTCTCTGTGTACTTCCGGCGCTCGTTAGCGCCACCCGTCCGGTTGCTAACCCATTGACCGTTGAGGGTCGGGTTTACTGCGACACATGCCGAGCCGGGTTCGAGACCTCCGCAACCACTTACATTTCCGGTATACTCTTCCTCTCTCTCAACTATATCTCGATTTCTCAACTCTGTGTTTCAATGTCTACTATATGACTGATCTGTATATGTGTGTGTATATATTTGTATAGATCGATCGAACCATGCTTTTGACACTTGAAGCAACGGTTCTGTTTGCTAGTAGAGTAGTATTACTGTACGTTGAGATAGATCTGGTAGATCTAAACTAGGGTTTTTATCTAGTTAAGGACTATTGTGTACTATTATCATACATGACAGCTACATTTATCATTTATGTCATTATTCTTGAGGATCCGGATTAGGAATGTAGTTGGGTCGGGTTTGTAACTGGCACTTTCTAAGATCCAGATGCATCTGGTTGTTAGGCTTGAATGCTGTATACTAATTTTGTGAAGGACTCTTTTTAGGGTTTCACCAAACCCTCAAGGGGTGAGCTTAATCACTTTGTTTGTGTACCCACGATCAACCCTAAACCCGGGATCGGGTAAGCCAGGGTGGAGACTTGACCCAGTCATACCCAGAGGAAGTGAACTCCATCTGTGACGATTTAGGGCTTGCTTGGTTCACTTTTCTTCTCTGACAACATTTAAAAAGAGAAATGTTTGAAATTCATTTGTTGACATTTTTTGTTTTTGGAAATTTTTTTTCTGAAAATCCGGTCAAGAAAAAGCATGTTTCATAGAATAGTCTTTTATAGGGTTTTAGTTATCTGAGTTAAATTATTTTCAGAAAGGTTGTTGCTAGACCGTCACTCATTTGATTGGGCGGCTGATAAACCATCATGTGTTTGTTGGTTTTTTTTTATTTTTTATTAAGTCAATCCTAGATTCAACTAGACTCTATATCCAGCAGGAAGGGACATGCTTGGTCATGTAGTCTTTTGGAGTTGAAATGTTAAGCAACAACACGTGAAAGGATTGACTTGATAAAAGGAAAAAAAAACCTACAACACGTGAATCACGTGATGGTTCAGTCACCGTTGGGCGGCTGTCGCTAACAAACCTCATTTTCAGAAAATTGAACCAAAAATGTCCCAAGTAACTGATCCAAGTAAGTGGGGAGGAATGAAATAACTTACTTTACAAAGTAGATATACTGCAATCCAAAAATATAATGTTGTGGGAAAACTGCATTAGTCAATATATGTAAAACATTGCAACAAGAATGATATATTGAGGTTGAAAATACAAATGTCCTGGTAACATTAGAAATGTGGTGTATATTTTACTAAATTGAGAATAATTGAAGAAAGAGGCGGGATATATATGATGAGGTAAGGAGCATGCCCATCAAGTTTATCTTCTCTATATTTTATAATGGAGCAAGAAACAATAGACACGCTATGCACATGCTCCTTGCCTCATTTTATCTTTGTTTTCTCCTTCGTCCTTACTTATAATTCTTCTCCTTCGTCCTTACTTATAATTCTTCTAGGTGGCTGCGAACCGAATTATACCAAAAAGATCAAAAAGTGTCCTTCCACTAGTAGATAGTATAGATGTGCCATGAGTGGCTTGGTCCTCTGCTGGTAGTTGTGGGTTTAGGGGTAAAAGACGAGGGACACCTTTTGCTGCTCAAACTGCAGCAGGAAATGCTATTTGTATAGTCATGGATCAAGGTATGCAACGAGCGGAAGTCATGATAAAGGGTGGTCCTGGTCTCTGAAGAGAAGCAGCATTACGAGCTATTCGTAGAATGCTAATGCAAGTGCACCCTATAATCAATCACTCACATCATTAGTTGTCGTCAGTTTTTCAACTCTTCTGATAGCATTTTTGATTGAGATTATTTTCTTAGAGCAGAATGTTGTTTAGAATTCATGTGGTCGATTCCAAATAGTTGAGAAAGGACTTTATGGAATTGAAATTTTAGTCTAATTATGACATTCATACCAATTCTTTAAAAAAATTGATCGGTAATTGGAGTTTTTGTAATGTGGCATAAATTCAATTGTGCAAAGCTACTTCTATAATATGTTCGAAGAAAAAAGACATCACTAATTTTGGAAGAATATAGTGGAACATCATAAATATGGTTGGCTTAACATATTTGAATAGTATGTGCACACAAATACATATGAAGAGGGATGGCCGCCTGACTATCAGTTGGGTGAAACAGTACCAAAACTTGCAACTCTTTTTCACCATTTCGCGGCTGTATTATGAACGTGTAGTTAGACGTATGTCAACTTGAAATTCATTTGTTGACAGTTTTTTGGAAATTGTTTTATGAAAATTGGGTCAAGAAAAGGCATGCTTCATAGAATAGTCTTTTATAGGGTTTTCGTTATTTGAGTTGAATTATTTTCAGAAGTCGTTCTTGCTAGGCAGTGACTAATAAACTTCACGTGTTGTTGGTTTTTTTTTTTTTTTTTTTTCCTTTTTTCTTACATCAATCCTAGATTCAACTGGACTCTATATCCAGCATACTTGATCATTTAGCCTTTTGGAGTTGAAAATTTAAGCAGCAACACGTTATAGGATTGATGTAAGAAAAGAAAAAAACCTGCATCAAGTGATGGTTCAGTCATCCAATCAGATGGGTGGCTGTTGCTAGCAAACTTCATTTTCAGAAAATTAAACCAAACAAGTCCTAACTAACTGATCCAAGAGAGGGGGAGCAGAATGATATAACTTACTGACAGAGTAGACATACTGCAATCCAACTATATGATGTCTCAGGGAAATTGCATTTGTCAATATAAGAAAAAGTTGTAACAAAAAGGATATATTGAAGTTGAAAATACAAATATCCTAGTAACATTAGAAAAGTGGTGTATGTTTTACTTCATGAGAATAATTGAAGAAAGAGGAGGGAGATATATAATGAGATAAGGAGCATGCGCATCAAGTATGTCTTCTCCATATTATATAGTGGAGCAAGAAACAATAGGCACGCTATGCGCATGTTCCTTACCTCATTTTATCTTAGTTTTCTCTTTCAACTTTCAATTATTCTCCTTCGTCCTTACTTATAAATTCTTCTATGCGGCAACAATTAAAGAAATGAACTGAGTTATACCAAAAAGATCAAAAAGTGTCCTTCCACTAGTAGATAGATAGTATAGATGTACCGTGAGCTGTGGCATTTGCTGATGCATGTGCACCCTATAATCAATCACTCGTATCATTAGTTGTCATAAGTTTTCCTCCTCTTCTGATGGCATGTTGTTTGATTGAGATTACGGTCTTAGAGCAGAATGGCGTTTAGAATTCATGTGGTCAATTCCAAATAGTTGAGAAAGGACTTATGGAATTGAAATTTTAGGCTAATTATGATATTTATACCAATTCTTTAAAAAGGGAGTCGGAAACGGGAGATTTTGATGATGTGGCACAAATTCAATTGTTTGGAAAAAGTCATCACTGATTTTGGAAGTATGTAGTGGAACATCAAAAATAGGGTCGGCTTTGTGCACACAAATACATATAGAGAAGGATGGCCGCCTTTCTATCAGTTGGGTGAAACAGTCTACCAAAACTTGCAACTCTCTTTTCCCATTTTGCGGCTATATTACGAGCATGTAGTCAGACCGTATGTCTATTTGTCATTGATTAATGTGACAGATCTATTAATATTTACAACCAGAGACTTGCCTTAGTGGTGTCTATTGTAAATCCCTGAGGAGCAAGTCTTGGGATTTGGGTGTCTTATATATTAGAAAAGATATATATGAAACCCACCCTTTTTTCAAATGATTGATACAATTTCTTAGGACAGAGAAGAATAGTAATATCATAGAGTTAAAATTATTGTACAAGGTCCTCAACTTTACAATCCCCAATTCTTTTTAAAAGGATTTCGTATCTGGCAGTAGTTTTATCCGAAAAGGAAAAGATTATGTGAGTTAAGGTGTTCACATATAATGCATGAATCCCTTTGACATGCCAATTATTAATGTGTAAGAGTATCCTACTAATGATAGATATGCATCTACATGACTTATATTGGACTGGTGCTTATTGTGAACTGCTAATTTAGAGATCATTACAAGCATTAACTGAAACTGAGTGTGAGCTTAAGCATTAAGGTTGGTTTGCCTTACCTGACAGCACTATATATTTAGATATCTTGCATTCCATACACACACTTATACACAATTCATTCTAATGCATTCACCCAACCTCCACCCCCTCCCCCACATGTATGCCTCTTTTGTGCACTAGCACATTTTCTTTGCCTAGGAAAATATAATTAAGCATAACATTGGCTTTTGTCATATTGTTCATAAGAAAGAAAATGGCAAACATTAAATTATATATAATTATCTTGTTCTGTTCTCATCCACCACACTAGACCAAAACTTTGGTCCCGTTTTGCATGTTAAATATTCTGTCATTTTTATACCCTTCCATTCATTTTTTTTTTGGATAAGTTATTCCCTTTCATTCATGTTACTCATGTTTTTATAAATCTTGCATATTTTTATAAAAATCATATCTTGTCAAATAAGAAAATGCTATAAAGGAGAGGGACTACAAAATCAATTGTTTTCCTCCAAAACTCCTATGTTTCTTTATTTAACCGAATTTTTTAAAATTGCTTCTTTTTCTAAAAACTCATGCATCATTAAAACCCTAAGACGGCCAAAAACTTAGTTTTCATGATTTTAAAAATCACCATCGGACTGAGGAGTTAAGTATGGAGTTGTATAACTCAAAATCAACTCAGTAGACATTGAAATGCCCAAGTAAATTACATTTGCTTCAAAAAATCAGAACAATTTTTCTAAATCTGATTGTTACTTATTGTGAAATTTTAAAGGATAAAGGTACGAGAATTTTTTTTTAGAATGTTGTAAGAGGAATGTTTTGCAGATTCTTCAGGGGTGTCTTAACACCTTCTCAGCTTCTCCTGACATGTAATACTCTCATGCATCTCAATGAAATAAACTTACACGGAGTCATCACTATCAAAAGGGCCTTTTTAAAAATCATTTTGCAAACAACTTCAAAAATTGTATTGTGTTGAAAAATCTGTTTTTAAGGTGACCTAACACACCATTCTTTTGTCACATTATGTAGGCTACATATCAATTCGCGTTTTTCCATTTTAAACTCTCATTCTCAAAATTCATCCCTCAAAATAATGAGGGTTGAAATCCGGGCATGACATATGGCTTGGTGAGGATATTGCCTGTTTCATTACTACTATCTTGAACAAATGGATGGGATTACCATCCCTTGGAAATTTGATTTTACATGCCCTATAAACTAGGCTGATGAACTGAAAATAGTCATGCACAATCCTAACTTTGCTTATGGTTCTCTTAACCTAGAGTCCTGCAGAGTCGACTTGTTAACTACTAGTTTTGATCTTGTGCAATAGGTGCCAAGGTAAGAGTGGAATGCAAAAACCGCAGGACACAGGATCTCATGTACAGCACTGAGGGAGAGACAGACTCGACAGGAACATACAAGATCTCGATTAAAGAAGACCATGGGGATCAGCTCTGTGATGCGGTGCTTGTTAGCAGCCCCAATAGTGACTGTGCAAAGGCTGATCCAGGGCGTGACCGAGCACGTGTCATCCTTACCCGCTACAATGGGATTGTTTCCGACACCCGTTTTGCCAATTCAATGGGCTTTATGATGGATCAGCCAATGTCTTGGTGCAACCAACTACTCCAGCAATACCAGGAATTTGATGATTAGAGTATGCTGCTTTAAGCCCTCTATCATCCCTGAATATTAAAGCTTTGCTTGGCTATATATTATTATCTTATGTCTTATTTATTTGGATGTCAATGTCTATCTAAGGCTTAGTGGTCTCTCTCAACCCTTTTTATTTTTTTATTTTTTATGGTTGTCATTGAACTCGAATCAATTAATGTAAATGCTCTATCGCATTTCTTGTCGCTTGTGTGATATTTCCATTTTTTTCTGAATGATGTATCCCTTGGATGGGTCCTATTTGCTGTAGAAGGTGGAACCCGCAAGCTTGCTTAAACCAGGGAACATGTCTTGAGTGAAGCATGAAATGCCGGGGGACAGTTTAAAATTCAATTTTTGAGCCTTTTAGACCAAGTTTGGTTAACTTTGAAGTTTGGCCAGCTTGGGGTTCATACTGATCTGGATTATAGAAAGTGCAATATAAAATTAGGCATTTTTAAAAAAGATTGTCAGCCAAACCAATTTTCTATTTGTTTTCTGTTTTTATGTTATGTGAAGACTATTCTCAAAAAGTGATGACCCAATTATACTTATAATTGAGTTGCTTTTGTTTTATTAGTTTGTTTTGGGGTAGGCATTGGTCAATAACATTCCGAGTCCAGGAGGAGCTCAACAACTGTGCACGTGCTCAACGTGTGCTATAAAATAATTGAGTGGTTACTTTATTTGTAAGTTATGTAAAAAAAAAAAAAAAAAAAATGAACTTGTGTTGTGAATGAAATCTCACCGATGCAATGCTGTAGTGGCTTTTATTTTTAAAATATAGCAAGTGGGTTTAAAAATGGGCCCTCCAATACAATATTATAGAGGCTGTCATTTTAAAAATATAGCAAGTGGGCTTAAAAATGGACTCTCCAATGCAATGTTATATGGGCAGTCAATTTTTAACTTTGTCAAAACTGATGCCAATTGTATCACAAGAAATAACAATGGCTATTTCTCTAGGACTACACAAATAGAAGGGACCGGTTCCTATTTCGCTCCTATTTCTCTAGGACAACAGAGAGAGGAATAGAACGGCGGCAACAGAAAGGGAAGAGACTGGCGGCAACAGAAAGGGAAGAGAAGAAAAGGGGCGTCCTGTATTTTCTCTTCCCCTATATGTGTGTGTAGATAGAGATGTGGAGCTTAATTAGTTTGCAAGACAAGAATTACTGACCTTGATTAGTTGATTTAGAAAGAAAAAAAATTAAAACAAAACCCATACGTACAAGTTAGCAGTTGCAGAGAGAGAAGGGGGCAAGCTTGAGAGTTGAGAGACAGCGGCTGAAGCTTGCGAACGGCGAACCTGAACTAGAATAGCTAGCGATGGAAACTGAAAGATATGGGTTTTGATTTTTTGAACAATCTAAAATGATATGCCGATATGGGTTAAACTTCTGATTCTTGAAGATTTTGTAGTTTGCAGTTGGAGAGATAGAGAGAGGGCAAGTTCGGGCGCCGCAAGGGGGGGGGGGGGGGGTGAAAGATCATAAAATTCACCAAATAGGATTTAGTTTGCAAAACAAGAATTGCAGACCTTGATTTGTTGATTTAGAAAAAAAATTAAAACAAAACTCATACATACAAGTTAGCAGTTGCAGAAAGAGCTTCTGATTCTTGTAAATTTTATAGTTTGCAGTTGCAGAGAGAGAGAGAGGGCAAGTTCAGAGTCAAGAACGAGAATAGAGATGGAGGCGATTAGGGAGGTTGAAATGATTTTTTGATAGGGTTTGCTTGTTATGTAAATGACAAGTTTACCTATTTATTTTTATATAATTTACATTCTTATCTTTTATATTGAATTTGATAATTAATTTTTTTTTAAAATTTTTAATCAGGCAAATGAGCTTAGTTGAAAATGGTAGTTGAAAAAAAATAGTTGTTGTGTCAAAAAATAGTATTTTGGATGAAATGAATTATTGGAGTAGAGTTGCTAAAATATAATATTTTGACACTGTAATACTTGTCAAAATATATAATGCAAAAATAGCTTTAACCATTAGAGATGGTCTCATGAAATAAAAGAGATATATATATATATATAACTATTCATCCTTGTATGTCTTTTCTAGCCTTTGTATTTTGATGATAAAGACTCCAACCCTCAAATTTGCATCCTAATGAACATTGAAAACTAATGAGCCGAGTAATAGGATTTAGTGCGTTTTCTAGTCTTTTATTTACTAAGAAAGTGCATAAGAAAAATGGTGAAAGAGAACCCTCAAATTACATCGCCCATGACCTAAGTGACGAGTATATGATTTTTTTTTTTTTTTTAAATTAAGTATGAAGAAATGGAAAAGAGTTTATATTTAATAAAGTAATCAAGTAATTGGCTTTATTTATTATTTAAAAAAAGAAAAAAGAAAAAAAAAAAACTTACAAAGACAAGACCATCAGTTATCAACGGGCCTTTTCCAAATTGGTACCTAGTCAATTGGTTCAATTGATTGAGGATGAAAAGTTAGTTAGAGAAGATCAGAACAGAGGAAGATTGAAATGAACAATGATGCGAGAGTATATTCCAAAACAAACAAAGGGATTCCCAATTTTTGTGACACGTGTTAAAACATAGAATGAGCTGCTGAACAATGACTTGGTCTAGGTCTCAATCTCTGATGTGATGTGGAAGTAGGTGGGTGTGTAAAAGTTGTTAGGTCCACAAAATTGCATAGCTTGAACACGTGAAATGGGACACATTATAGGAGGAGATGGAGGTAGGTGTCCTTCATTTGGAACCCCCCTTTGAAGAGCTGCTTTTTTGTAGTTGGGTATTTTTATTTTGATTCAACATGTTTTAGGGCAAGTTGGGAGTGTTAGGTCTGTTTATGTTAGGTCAGTTTAACAACATGAAGGGTAGTTTAGAATTTCTAGTTTAATTGTAGCAAACGTGACCAGCTTGGACATACAACAAGAAACACAGCTCTTTCCAATCTAAAAGTAATGACACAAGTACATGATGCCACCATATTAGGTTTATTTTTTTTTGTTTTTATTTTTATTTTTTTTATTTTTAAGTCTATGTTAAAAGAAGAAAACAATTCTTTATTATTATTATTATTTTTGGCACACACAAGAAATTATTATATGGTCAGGGACCAAGTGTTCTCGATCAATCACAATCTGCTACGTAAGTAAATGTGTCAATTTTATTCAAATTTTTACTTAAATTGTATTTGATCATGATCAATAATCCCGGATCATGTAATAATTTTTTAATGTACACACACTCCCATCACATTACTCCATGTGGACCGCTCATCTTTGAAAAAATGAACACATACTGCCTAAGCAATGACTCCATAGTAAAACGATATAAATACTTTTTAAATTTTTGTTATAAAGGAAAACAAAGAAAAATATGAAAGTATGGAAGCAAAATTTAAATTTATCATGCCATTCTTAAGGGTTTGATTATTGCCATTGACACACGAAAGATTTCTTTTCTAAAAATAGAAAACTATTTTTATTTAAGCAAGAGAGAACATGTCATTTCTTTTACCTTTCTTATACTAAATTACAATATTTTAATTTTTTTTTTCTGGTAAATGATATTTTCTATCATTGGAAATAGATAATTCATATGATCAACGCTATTCGTATGGGATTAAGGGTGATGATGATAATACTCTTTGAAAAGAATTTGAACCTAACTTGAGTGCATTAAAAAGGGAGAACCCGCTTCCTTTCCTTCTTTTGATACTCTCTCTCTCTCTAAAGAGAGCCTTTGCGAATATGGTGATGTAAGGCCTCTTAGAACATCCTACATGATGCACCATTGAGTATGTGCAATCCCTCCATTCTGCATGTACCAAACAATTACATTCTTTTTTATGTTATTTTATTTTATTTTTGTTCTTGAGGAAAGACACTTACAATTAGGTTATCCCTTGGGGATAACAATTTGCATATAATGAAACAAAAAAGATAGTAACCAAGAGTTGTAACCTAATAGTACCTCTTCAACCTTTCAAGATAGAATGTCAAGGGTTTAAGTCATTGTTAGGAACAAAAGTGGGTGTGTTAGCTTTTTGACGTACATATATTAAAAACAGATAAAAGAGGAAGATAATGCCCATGTGAAAACACTTTATGCTTTGTTTGGTAGGAATTAAGAAAATTGGATGAAAGGGAGAGAAAAAATGATGGACGAGACATTCTCAAGTAAGGAATAGTAATGTTTTTCAATCTTTTTGTTTAGTTAGATGGAAGAGAAGGGAATAAGGTAATACTTTACTTTGTTAGTTAAGAGAGAACTAAAGAGAGATTGCTAATGTTAAGTTTAATTAATAATTATAAAGGGTAGTATGTTAATTTAATTTTTTTTATAACAACCTTACTTCTATTCCTACCACTCTTCCATCCATATTTGGAGGAATGAAAGTTTGTGAAGCACGAATGATGTCTCATTTATCATCTTCTGAAGGGCGTCACGACAAGCCGTATAATGTGCAAAGTGGACAGTATCGAACTAATTCCGAGCTGAACATGAGGGGCATGCACAAGCATGTGAGGTCCTGAAAGGGGTGATTCTGACGTCCCACGTCTCCTAGGGGGACAAGTTTTTGGCATTTGTATGTGTGGACACCTCATTATCCTTGTAAACACATTTTGAAAGTCGTGAGCACTAAGAGGAGAATGTGCAAAGTAGACAATATCCCGTAAATAATGAGAGGAAAGTGTGCAAAGCGAATAATATCTACCTGAATTATGGTGGGTCGTGATTATAACAGTGTTGAATGATGCTGTGATTTTCAGTGCACCATATAGAACAAATGCACCAAAAAAAGATTTGGTTTCCATAATAATAAAGAACCGATAAATTGGTACGAAATATCGTTTCGATTTGATTCTTTTATAGTTTGGTTCCTATTTTGGTTCCAAAATTAGGAACCATTAATTTACGGTTCCGATTCTAATTTCAAATCCATTAAAACCAAACCAAACTAAACCAAACCAAAACATAAACTAAAAAATATATATTATAGCCAATGATATCACACATGTTACATTAACTTATTTTGCTTCGATATTCATGTGATCGACAGTGAGTTTGATCTCAATATATATATATAATTTGAAAAGTAAAACGATTATCCTCACAATATTATTTGAAGAGAACCATGGTTCGGTTCTATGTCTCAACAATTTCAATTCTAATTATTTTAGGAATTGTTGAAAATAGTTTGGTTTCAATTTAGCATGTCACCATAACATTGCTTCATTGTAACTAAAGATCACTAAGTTAAAAATAAAGACACAGCCTCTTTACATGGAAAGGTGTGCGCTAGACTAAGCTTCTTTTTAAAGCTAGTAATTTACATTAAGAAAAGTAATTTTAAGCCCTAACGATATAAGCGTACCAAAGAGGAATGGGAATAAAGAATAAAACGGAAAATACAAACCTGATATATAATAAATTCGGATCAACTTTGTCAAATGTATGTATATATATGTATTACATATATATAGGGAGAGAGAGAGCATTTTCGTCTGCTTTAGAATTTGACGTTATTTGGTTACTTTTTGAACCCATCTGAGCTTGAGACAGCGATTCTTCTCTCTCTCTCTCCCTGCATTTTGTTGTCTGTCGAAATCAACATCACACTTAAGCATAACTTCCATCACGTTTTCTCATCTTCTCCGTCAACTTCTCTCGTAATAAACCCTCCCCAACGCGGGCATTTTCCGGCTGCTTTGGTTTCTTCGTAACCCGTAAGAATTGAACATCGATTCGGCCCTATAAATAATGTAAGATCTCTCCCTCTCTCTCTATTACGCAACTAACCGTCGATTCTCTTCCTTTTCTTGCGTTCTTCTCTCTCTTCCCTGTTTCGTAATGTGGGTTTTTCTATTTTTCATTTTTATGATATGTGTTTGTTAACATATTTTTTCAAGCTTTTGATTCATTTTACATATATGGTTTCAATTCTTGATTGCTTTACTCAAATTCCCATGTGGGTTTGCCTTTAATTTAGTTTCTCGGATTGTATTTATATGCACGCACAAACACACACACACACACACAAATACACACACATATACAAATGTTGGCCCTGAGGAAATCCGTTAAGTTAAATCTGAAATTTGTTGAAAAAAGATCAACTATATAATTGATGGGCGGTACTTGATTTATGATGTTTAAACTGCTTTTTAATCATTGTTTTCTTTTTATTAGTTTTCACAATAGTTACAATGAATGTTGTGCGAGTTAGAAATTAGTGAGGAGAAATTCTTGTTTTATGAGATTATATGAGCTTCTGGAGTCTTTATATGTGATTTAACTTCATGGGTGTAATTAAAAATTTGTTGGATTATTATTATTTTTATTTATTTTTTAATTGGATATTAAATCTGAAATTTGTTTACTATTCTTTAGTTGAAAAAGTTAAGTATATAATTGATGGGTGGTTCTTGATTTATGATTTGTAACCTCCTTTTTAATCATTCTTGCCTTCTTGTTAGCTTTCACAATAGTTAAATGAATGTTGTGTGAGTTACAAATTAGTGAGGCGAAATTCATGTTTTATGAGATTATATGAGTTTGTGGACTCTTTATATGTGATGGGTGTACTTAAGTGGGTGTTGATTGAGTAATATTCACTGTCCACAATACTTCAACCCCCCCCCCCCCCCCCCCCCCCCCTCTCTCTCTCTCTCTCTCTCTCTCTCTAATTGCAAGCTCTTATTTTTTATTTTCTTGGCTTTTCAGAATGGCCGCAACTGCATTTCACCAAGCCATTGGGACTCTTCAGTCTCGTGGATATTTCAGTGATTCCTTTGACCGTCATGAGTTTGAAAATGCTTCAGTGAGATTGATCTCAAAGGGTATTAAGGCTAATGTTGGACCATTGAGAAAAGGAAGTTATTGCTCTAGATTGAGGAAGTTTAGTGTAATTAAAGCATCAACTTCTCAAACTCTGGAGTTTGGCTCGGTTTCATCCCCATCAACTAACAACAGCAATGGCAACGTAAAGAAATCAAGTATGACGGTCTCATTCTAATTTGAATTTGATTAGACAATATTTAAATTAAACATATACGTTCCTCTTGTTTGTGCTTGATCAAATTGTAATTATTATGTTGAGTTGCACATCTTTTGAATTCAATACTTACTGACGATTTGTAGAGTGAATTGGTTATTTTATGAATTCTTCGAATTTCTGCTTTTATGTTCTTATTTAGATGAAGCAGCTTTAATCCTAATTCGCCATGGTGAGTCGTTGTGGAATGAAAAGAACTTGTTCACTGGTTGTGTTGATGTGCCGTTAACTAAGAAGGGTGTAGAAGAGGCAATTGAAGCTGGCAAGAGAATTAGCAATATACCTGTTGACACAATATATACATCTGCGCTGATTCGTGCACAGATGACTGCTATGCTTGCTATGACGCAGCACCGTCGCAAGAAGGTAATTTGTGCAAACATCTGGATATGTCTTGGAACACACCATTTTCACACACATATTCGCAATGCTTTTAGCTTTTCTGCTTAGATGATATTGAGTGTCTGATGTGGAGCACTAAAATGGATCATGCATCTCGTAGAATTCTGTTCCATAGTTCTTAATACTTAGAACAGTAAAGTGAGCTAAATTATTGTTTGTTGAGGTTTATTCTTCGAATAATACCAAGAAGCAGATGCAGCTTCTAAATTTTATTCCCAAATCAACCCTAATGAAGGTATTATATATATGAAAGAAGTACAATCGCTACAGCTTTTTAGAGCAATAAAATTATCATTAGCAAGAAGGTTGTATGAGTATTGGACAAACTCTGATTACACAACATACTGGTGAATTCTGGAAGTGAAACTTTGCAACAGAATCCGGAGCTTTCCCTCTTTTCTTTTCTTGCAGAAGGTACCTATAGTCAGAACCATCATTTAAGCATGCATACACAAATACATTGATGCAATGTCTTGCAGAAGGTTTCTATAGTCAGAACCATCATTTAAGCATGCATACACAAATACATTGATGCAATGTCTTAAAACTGATCTGTATGACAATATATCCATATGATTTAAATTGCTGCTTGCTACACATGAAAGTATAGATTGCCTCCACCAGTTTAAATTATAGGCTTTCCCTTGAAGTAAAGGCAGATGAAATGGCTAATTTTTTTCAGTCAAGTATAAGTTGTTCATTGAAGAAAACTAATTCGTGCTTCCATATAAATTGTTCGCTTGGAACAACTAAAAAAACCAACCAGTTTGGTCATCATAATTTTTCATGCCTAAGATTTTCATTGCTATCTTTATTGGGTGTCTGTTCTATTAACTATAAAAAAGAAAGCTTTATTAGAATGGAGTACACCTGGTGCAAAGTTGCATTAGAGCCTTTAATTCTAACACTAATTTGGGTGAATTAATCCACTCATAATTGGTTGATGCCAATAAGTTCCACATCACTTCCATTTCATTTTTCCCTGTGCTGTGTGCGCTAATCTTCTATCACGCATTTGAATTATTTTCAGCATTGCAAATATCTGCTTCATTATAGTTTTTTAGGTTATGCTTGTTTGGGGAAAACTTTTTTGTTTCAAACTCTGCATAAGATCTCTTTTGAAATCCATCTCATCTGCCACCCTCATAAAAACTATTAAACTGCCTACAGGTGCCAATCATCAAACACAGTGAGAGTGAACAAGCAAAGGCTTGGAGTAAAATTTTCAGTGAGGAAACTGAAAAGCAGTGCATTCCAGTTATAACAGCTTGGCAACTGAATGAAAGAATGTAAACTATATATCTATTTCTACTTTCTGGTTATTCCTCTTGTCTGTTGTTCCCAATACACAATTCACTGCGTGTGACATATAAACTGTTTTTATCATTAGGTATGGGGAATTACAAGGTCTAAATAAGCAGGAGACAGCAGATAGATATGGAAAGGAACAAGTTCATGAGTGGCGTCGTAGTTATGACATACGCCCACCCAATGGCGAGAGTTTGGAATTGTGTGCTGAGAGAGCTGTTGCTTACTTTAAAGAACATGTACACATGATTCTGTGCTTATTTTGTATTGAGATCTCCCTCTTTTACGTTTTATCAGCTCACATTGGAATTTATATTGTTGCAGATTGAACCCCAACTTTTATCTGGAAAGAATGTGATGATTGCTGCCCATGGGAATTCATTGAGGTCTATCATCATGTATCTTGACAAATTAACTACCCAAGAGGTGAGACTTCAATTGGAATGCTTAGGTGCGTTATCACATTCTGATTTGCTTATGATGGATGAAATCCATGTCTTAATTTTGTCAGGTTATTAGCTTGGAACTTTCGACTGGGATACCTATGCTTTACATATTCAAAGAGGGAAAGTTTATGAGGAGGGGAAGTCCTGTAGCTCCTAACGAGGCAGGGGTATATGCTTATACTAAGGTGTGCAACTTTACCCCTTGGTGCTCTTTAATTTGCTCTGGACTTCTTATAACTCTTCCTTATGATTAGTTATGCCCATGTACTCATTAGCATAGTCTAAAGATGCTGTATATTGTTGTTAAAATACCTAAAAAGGCTTTTGTGTGTTTCATTGCAGTTGCCTTGTAGATTATATTGGTTATTGTGTAGACAAATGCAGAATTGTTGAATGTATTGAAATTGATGACATTCTCCTTTGAGAAGTTCCAAATTGCTATTCTTTTCTATTATCTTCTTGACAACCAAACGGAATTTTAGCCTTTTCATCAGGAAACCTGAATGTAAGTCTCAAAGTGGTTAGATGTACTGGAGAATGATTTAGGTGTTGGCACTGAGTCACATATTTCATCAGAAAAGGATCTTACATCATATTTGTTACCTAAGATCATGCTTTTGCATGTATATACACCAACTATTATATGATTGTTTGGATTTTTTTTGATCCTAGTTTTCTTATTCTATTTCTTTTCCCTGTATAAAGTAATATTAGGGTCCCATATTACACACGTGAAACTTTTGGTGTTTTTTACGTGGTAGACTTTCTCTTCCCATTCACCAGAATCAAATTTTTCCCGGGGATAGAAAATTGTGTGGCTTCAAAATAGTTATTATTAGAGTGGTACATTTGTACATATGCTTCTCTTTTCTTAAAGAGTGTGTTGGGAAAATCCTTACCTTATTCTTGATTGTTTTGTTTGACACAAAAATTACATTACTGAGGAAGGCTTCCTCACAAGAATAATTTCCTTCGAAACGAAAAAAGGATCCAAAATTGCGCCTGTCCGGATGGGTCTTAGGCATCAGTGAAGAAATGTTATCTTACATTAACTGTTGGATTGCTGTCTTGGACTTTTAGTTGCATTCAGTGGTGACTTGGCAAAAGTTTGAAAATTAGTTCTCATCCTTTATAAAGTACAAAATAGGCCAAAGCCATTATGCACTGTAGAGAAATGTTGGCTAGGCATCTAAAAGGGAGGGGTGGGGCCGCTAACCCGAAAAAAATAAAAAATAAATAAATAAAAGGTACAATATGGTGACTGGTACTTTCTTTTTTTCTTTTCCATAGAAATTTATGGACTTTAAGATGTTTGTCACCTTTATGGAACACTTAACAGTTTTATATTTTGATGCTTATGTTCATTCTTTTTCCCAAATGCAGAATTTGGCTCAGTACAGGCAGAAGTTAGATGAGACGGTTAATTGATATGACAAATTGGTAACTATTTACCAGTTCTTCTGTTTCTAGATCCCCTGTTTATAAGATCTAATTAGGTCACACATTTTATGGTTTTGCAGGGGCTTACCTTCCGTTGCATTTACAATCTTCAAACCTATTGTGTTGTATTTGAGGTGGAAAGTAGAGTAGTTTCCGCTAGCAAGTTTTGTGAAACATATAGATACAGTTTTCAGTTGTAAGTAGATCATAAGATGCGTACTCATACTTTCTGAATGCATCAACCAAAGCTAGTTCTGTTCCTTTTTAAGTGTAGCTGTTTCTGTTGGACAGTAAAAGTTAATCATGTGATATAGACTGTAATAAGAATTAAATTTGGGACTTCAATTTCTGTGGCATTTGTTGATGCTTATATTAATTAGCTTCAGCACGTATCGAGCCATATGGTCTTTTTGTGGTTCCCCTTCATTTGAATATCATGGTATAATCGACGATTCGATCAGGTTGTTTCTGGTTATATGGATTGTTTAAAGGAGTGTTTGAAAATGCCATGGAAATTAAATCTGCATGATGGTTTTGAAAGTATTCGCAGTTCACGGCTGCATATTTATTGGTTGGCTTTATGCGAGTTCTTGTTGGATCATCAGATGATATGAAAGCAATGTGGGTGCGTGTGTGTTTTCGAGTATTAATGAATGTATGAACTTTAAACAAATGTTTCGTGTAATGGTAAAAGCTCCGGTTGTTCACAAGGTTGTATGATGGCAAATGCAGGAATACCATGTACAAATTATGTGTCCCCCTAGTTGAGCAACCACTTTCTTTTATTTTTGTTTTCAAATAATTAGCATAATTCTTTGTCTATACAAAAAATTTACAACCCAATAGTTTCAACAATATATGGCCTCACTGTGGTTGTTTTTGCTCCCAGTACTGTGAGTCAATCAGTATTAGAAAACTCTACCATGAATAGAGCTCAGGCTCAATCTTTGTTCATGGTCAATTAAACCTTGTGAATTCTTCTCAACCTTTGTGTCAATTTAACAAAGTTGATCAAGATGTGTAGATGGTTTTTGCCCATACACAAATGACTTCTCTGTTTATTTACATCGAAAAGAAGTGAATAATTTGTCTCAAAACTTTTATTCAATCGAAGCCTTAAATTGTCGTGATTTTCATGACCCGTGCTAAGAAATTTTGTTCTAGGAAACTCAAATGTATCCAGAATAGATTGAGCTCAATTCCAGAAGCCTGTCTTTCAGAGAAAAGTTGTAAACTTCATTGAAGACAATACAAAACAAAAATCAGATAAGTCTTGTTAAAATTTGAAGAGTATTATGGAATTACACAAGAAGAAAGACTAAAATCAATAACAGGCACCTGCATCAGGTATCTTTCCACCAGAAAATTTACTCGATCTTGGTACCAGTCCATGATGAACAAAGTCAAATCGTGAGCCTATTAGTGAAGTAAATTCAATGAAGCAACAACTGGTACCATAGAAAAGCGACCATAAACTACAACTGGTACCATAGAGAAGCGACCATAAACTAGATAGTCTTCACCATTTTTTCCATTAGAAAAACCGGTGTCTAAAATGCTACCACCATAATGAGATGGATTGATTCGATGTTAGCAACTACAGATGCATGTCACGCTTTGTTACCACAAATTGACTTGAGCCAGTAGTTCCTTCCATTAGTTTGTATCCCCGGTTTCACTTCTACAACTATTAGTCACAGGCAAATCACCATCTGGGGCAAGATCTTCTGTACTAACTCCATGAGATGATAACTTATTTGCTTTCTCACCTGAGGTGTCAGAATCTGACTCTGAATTTGTAGTGTCGACAGATGTAGTTTCAAGGACTGGTTGAGGGTCTGCCACAGGGGTGTTCTCACTCGTCAAAGAAGAGGCAATCCTCCTTTTATCATCTTCTTTCATCCTTTCAGCATATTTGTCAATGTCGAATCCTGCATTATCTTTCCCACCGAATGCAGACTCAACCTGGTTCATGTCAAATAGGTCCTCCATTATCTTTGTGGTATTCGGATCACGAGAGTAGACAAACTTGACTTTGTTTACTGTCTTGGGCTCTAAAAAAGGCTTTACCACCTGCAATTATACAATCTTCTCATGTTAAAAGCAAACCAATAAAACACTCGAGGAAGTGACAACTATCATCTAAACAAGGACCAACAGTATATTTCACTGGTATCGAAACAAGGACCAATATAATATTTCCTTGGTATCATAATTAGCAACCAAAGAATGATAAAAACAGTATAGATAAACACGTCCCTGCAAAATGGTCAGAATCCCCAGGAGACACCTAAGTTAGAAGCAAGAATGATAAATGATTGTAAAAAGCATGATCTGAGAAGCAACTTTTTTTATAGAAAAATAAATAAATAACTCATCAATCTTAAAATTGAAAATTGAATAGATTGGATAATTATCATAAACTTCCAAATGAGGATTGAAACTTCAACTTTTATTCTAGAAGAGCTGGTAATACTTGTAAGTTGCAAGTTTGTAACCAAAGATTGAACTCCATCAGAATTTTGATTTCTTTTATAAGTGAAGGATGTTTAGAAATTGTACTTTTGAGTGTGAAATGGAAAGGTATGTGCAATGCCACAATCTTGTCAAAAACTTGATATTTGATATAAGGCAATGAGATCTCCTTTCAAATATAGGCCAAAACCTCCCCTCCCATGACATGCATTCTGAAGTCCCATTAGTAGGCGTCAGTTATCAGTTATCATCTCATACAAGCTTATTTATTACCCGTGAATAGCCAAATATATATATATATATACACACACACACACTTGCGTAATACTAAAAGATTGTCAAAATTTGGCATAACATGATGGAATAATGGGAAACAAGGTTTAAATGACTCTACCGTCCAGAATGGTTCGAAGAACTTGGGAGGGTTGTACAGTATTGCGATGCCCAGCCTCTCAGGATACTGGTCTTGCAGAACATGGGCTGTTTCACGTGTCACCTTAACTGAGATATTAGACAAGTTGAAACCATTAAAATCAATCAGCCAGACCATCTGTTCCTGGTTTGGTGGCAGATTGAAAATAGCGTTCTCCATGCAATACACCAAGTACCTAATTTGTCCTTTTGTTGACTTTGAGTTCTGCAATCAAACACAAAACTGAAAAATATTTATAAACACAATCATTACTAGACCAAATATTAGCATATGTAAGAGCATTCTCTGTTGAATAAAAATGCAAAGCATGGGTTCCTCACCACGGATAGAGTAGGGCTGATAATGCTTAATACAAACCATTTAACCTATAAAACCTGCAACGTTTTTTTGGGGAGGGGTGGAGTGGAGGGAGGGAATTAACGAGGTGTATGGCAATGAAGGAAAATTGATGGACAAGCAGATTACATTATACTCAATCATATGAATTATGATGTAATGTTTGGGCTACAAAATGTTCATCTATTCATGCACTCAACAAATCAGATACTGGATTGCTGAGTGTCAAATGTCATCTTGTATTTGAAAAAGAAAAAGAAAGAAAGAAAGTTGCAATGCAACAAATGCACTTAAGAGTAAGAGGAATCGTCAGATATAACCTGGCAACTAGGTCTCATGACAAGAACCGCTCTCCCGTGCTTATCTACATAGTTTGACCTGTAAATTTTCCCAGTTTCAGCCTCACGAGCAACCTCTTCCTACATAGCAAGGGAAGAAAAAACTGTCAGAACAGCATACCATGAGAAATATATAGTAGAATAGCTGGAAAAAATTGCCCCAGGTCTGCCAGTTCCTTGAGCATAATGGGACCTCGATGCATTCCTAGTTAACAAGTTGTTTCAATTATAAGCAATTTGGGTTCCTGTAAAGGTTCTGTATTAGGACTTGTGTCCTTGTGCCGCCAAAACTCCCTGACAAAATTAGTTGTGATATTGAACAAAATGTCACCGCAAGTCTTGTATCGAGTTGGCTTGCCATGGAGAGAGACAATGATCAAGTGAACATTGGAAGATGAAAACAGATTCGGATTGTGCATTGGCTTGACTGTTTCAATAGATTCAGTCACACATTAAGACAAAGTAAGATCATAATGGTGGATATAGAGTCTAGGATTATCAAATCATTAGATAGTTGACCTACGCTGAACCTAGGCGATAATGCTTAATTGACTTACTTAATGAATGAGCTTTTGTCTTTTTGGAACTCAAAATATGTTAAAACATTCAAAAAATTCGATTGCTACAAGCTAGGATGAATTCTTGTAGCTTCATGGATCAATCACTAGAAAATGGCGTTGAGTGCAGAAGGATCAATGCTACAAGAGCGGGATCGATTGCTCTCGTCCAGGATAAATTATTAGATGGTCTTGCACCATTAACACTTGGTGGACCAGTTAAATATAGACTTTCGAATTGAGAAAATGGCCCCACAAGAGTGTATTAATAAATTACAAAGTTTCATGATCGGAGAGTCTTCATTGAATTAGTCCACCAAGTATTAAATAGACCAGGACCATCTAATAATTTCTCCTTGTCCAGAAGGGTGTAATCAATCCCTCTAAATGTTGGGATCATTTCCACTTCAACTTTTTCTCGCAACAGAAAAATAAGCTTTCCTACTGCAATTGATATTGGACTTGCTAATAGTTATCTAAATAGTTAAGAAGCTTTAAAGATTGGTTTTTAAGGAATTTTTGAGAGAGAGAGAGAGAGAGAGAACACAAAAAGCATTCAGAGAGAGAAAAACAAAAAGACTTTTATTTTGCTTTCATTCATCATATAGTTTGGACACACACACACACAACAAAAAAAGGAAAAAAAAAATTAAAAATTAAAAATTAATGAAAAAGAAAAGTGAAGACCCTCCTTATTGGTTTTGGGGGAGGGGTTGGGGGTTTAGGGCAGGAATAGACAAGATCCTGTGTTTTTTTCCCCCGAATGTGGTGTCTTCCTATTTTGATTTCTCTTGCTCTATTGCTTTGCTGTTTGCTTTTTATTTCTGAAATTTGACTGATTGCCATATCACAATTAATTGATTAATTGGGATTAATTAAATTAAACGTTGATTAACAATTGATTGGTTCAAATTATAAATAAGGTTAATAGTAATTAAGATTTGATAAACACCTATCACCGCCTCTAGGTCCTTGAGTGAAATACATACTCCAAATAAAACCTTCAGCTTGTGAAACTTTCATTCCCAAACCTCATCCACTTCAAAATTTAATTTAATGATAAAAGTTTTGGACAATTGAGCATGTGAACATGGATTCAAGTTACAAAAAAAAAAAAAAAAAATATATATATATATATATATATATATCTATAGACACATACATTTATAACTCCATGTAGTGAAGTTGGAGGTTACATCTGCACCTAATCCACCTCTACCACACCCCAGATCAATGAAATCAACACTGTGTGATGACCTTTATCTATTAATTTGTCTCTAATAATTTGGTTAGAAGTTGGGAGCAGGCTGGCCTCTTTTCCTTTTGAAGAAAGGCGACCTTTAAAGGATGATCCTAGTGCTAATTGAGTAATTTCAAACTCAACCGTCACCAACTCCAAGCACACCAGAATATATCTATGAAAAAACAGTGAGAGAGGATGACAGGCCAGCTAAATCCTAATTACAAAACTTATTCCAAGCATTGTGCGGCAGTTAAATGCAGCAAAGAATCAATTCAAAAATTCTACACATAAATTTACAAAAAAGTAAGTATCATTGTTACCCATCGAATCTCTTCTGGCTTGTATGCCAGTCTCCATTTCAAGGTATCTTTAACCATTTTAGTTGTCTTCTTGACATTCCAGCTACGTGCCCTTAAATGTCTTGAGATTGATGCATCAGAACAATAAAGAGACAACTTGTCCGGCAAAGGCCCAACCAACTTTCTAACCTCATTTATCTGCAAACATGAAGTATCAAGAGCTGAAGAGATTTTTTCCTTTCCCTCTAATAGAAACAATATTGTATTCCTAATAAAAAGCTTTAAAACAAAAAGTACTTATAGATGTACCAGGGGACAAACCTTTTCCCGTTCCTCCTCAGATGTCACAAAATTCTCACAGCTATTTGAAGTGGGTAATTTCAGATCAGCACTCATAGCTTTGAAGAAGTCTTTCTGTAGGTTGACAATTGATAAGTCAAAAAGAACTTTGCGACTTTAGCAACAAAATCAAATAAATAAATAAATAGAGGATCTTCAGTAAGTATCGTTCTTCTTCTTTATCTCCCTTCTACAACGCAGCGGCGGCAGGGGGGGTGGGGAGGGGGGGCATACATTTTCACCTCCAAAGGCCCAAAAAAAAAAAAAAACCACACTAAAAAGCTAGAAACAATGAGAAAGATGATGAAACCAATGCAAGAGTTGTTTGGTCGTTCAAGTTGTCAATAGCAACTCTTGTTAGTGTATAAACTCCAACAAGAAACCTTTTGGTCATATAACTTGTTCTTAGTCTCTAAATTGCATAGAGGAGCATATCAGAAAACTTGTTCTTTCGTGAATCCAACATCATCTGATTGCCTTTCTTTAATGAGGGGATGACCACCAGTTCAACTCCAAGATAAAAAATAAAAAAAAGATGAATCTTCCGGAAGATGAGAATAAATAATCCAAATGCACAAAAATTTCTCACCTACCAGTAGTTCAGACTCTACTAGTAGCTTACCCAGGGATACTCCACATGTACAAATGTCTCAGCTTAGTCAGAGAAACTGTACGAATGACAATTATTATATTATTGGAACTCTGGACCATTTCTAATCCTATGCAAGGTTCACAACCCTAGTTAACCATCCACCTTTAAATTTCTAGAGAGATTATTAGTATTCCCAATTTTCTTTATGCTACAAAAAACAAATCCATGAGTAAACGTATGAAGAAAAGCCAATTGGACCCTTAATGCCAATAGGACAAATTAAAACTTTTTTTCTTTTTTTTCCTAGTTGGTACTCACACACCTATGCCTCCATGGAGGCTCGAACCCTTGACGAGTCCCTTTGAAAAGTAGGGGTCTAGTACCGTTGGGCCACTTGTCCGTAGGCCAAATTAACACTTTAGGATAGTCCTTGATCACTCAATGATCTCCTATGCAGCAAGCCACTCCAAAATAAGCACAAGTATATTCCGATCCCAATCCCTTTATGTGTTGCAAACTTGCAACATCAAGAGATGCTCTATTATTTGATATCTGATCTTACGACTGCACAACCAGTAAAAGTCCAAGCTCTCTGATTTGTAGCACATTCCCTCAAAGCATACGTTTAAATAGAAATTAAATGATTCTTGGTCCTTTCTATTTTTTATTAACCCACTCATACCCAGTTCATACATCCATGGTTCAAAGAAAATTTAGATTAATTACCTCCTAGAAAATTATTTGATCATTAACGATGGTACCCATGTTCTTGTAAAAATGTTATAAATTCCAACTCATTTTGTCAATGAGCTTGAGCCAAACCAGGATCAAAGGTTGGCTGAGAAATATGCAATAGAATAATTATTTTAGAATCTTGTAGTTTCGATATTTCTTAAGCAAATACATGAACCAAGGTACTGAGATGACCAATTATTGTGACCTTGTCAATTAACCGGTCACCACTCATGAATACTCCTTCGTACTGCGTTAAGCAGACAGTAAGATTTCTTTTTTATTGTGAAAAACTGTTTTGACAGAATTAAGAAACTGTCATATTAGAAGTTCTACAACATTTTAGACGGTTTCAAGTTTTCATTTTTTCCAATATTTTATTGCAATCCTGTATGAGATGCACCGATTTTCCCTTGGTGATAATAAGTAAAATTTTCTTACTATCATAAAACAAAAAGAAAAACCAACTTCAGTGTTGGGAAAATAAAACTTATATGAGCCTATAGTATTTATACAAGTTCCGTGCAATAACCATGTCGGAATTATCCTTGGCTATGTTTAGGAGCACCAAATTGGCGCTTTAGAATTGAAGAAAATTTAGTTAAGTTTTGATTATAACCCGAAATGTTAATGTTGCACTTGGAAGCACCGAATCAGTGGTTTGAACTAAATTTCCTCCAATTCTAATTCCAAGCCACTGATTCAGTGCTTCCAAGTGCAACATCAACATTTTGGGTTAAAATCAAGACTTCCCTATTTATTTTTCTGAATTCCAAGCAACATATATGTATATTAAAAAAAAAATGTAATTGCACTTGATAAGAAGTGAATGCCACGTAGACACCGATCTTTTAGATTTAATTCAATCACCACACAAATCCATGTGAAATCTAAAACACAAATCAATCACAAGTCTGTTCAAATCAACCATGTGCCTCATCAGAAGCAACAATTTCAAAATTAAGTCAAAGTGGCAATATTTGAAGTAACAATTACGTTCATCTAACATTATCAAAACAAAAATCTAGAACTGGGTTTCTTAAGCAAACTCAATATCACCAAAATATAAGTAAGTGCACAATCGTACGTGTGTTTCTATATATATATATATACACACACACATATATAAGATGAAGAAGGTGGATGCTGAAATGAGCGGCAGTAGCTTTACCTGATGGATTGAAGTGAATCAAGAATTGTAGTTTTCCTTTCCCTCCTCTGTGATTGATTGAAGACAACAATTATGGGTTTTGGGAGATCTCAAAGGCCAAAAACCATGGAAACCAAACAGGTCAACGGTCAGATGGGCATTCTCACAACAGAGGTTCGAGAAAGATTTGATTATTCTTGCTATCAGATCTGTTCAAAAGCAATGGCGCAAGCTCACGTGGGGAGAAACAAATTGATAAAGAAGATCAAGTCTTGCTCTTTTGACATTTTTTTCTTTTTAAGATAAAAAAGGGGGAAAAGGAAAAGGATAAAAAATACTTCAAAAAAAAAATAATAATAAAAAAAAAAAGGAGTAAGAAACTATTTAAAAGGGTGTTGTTTCTTTATTACTCCACTGTATTATTTTGTTTGAAGTATTGTTGCAAAAATTAATCGTGTTTTTTTCCGATGCCGATTCTCGGTTATGATGAGAAAAAATTATGTTTCATTTTAGGTGTTTATCTTTATATTCTCCAACGGTTTTGCATTTATATCCTGTTATTATTGATTGTCACGGCGTGTTTAGAATTTTTCAGTAAAATATAATATTAAATATAACGGATGAGCATTATATAGTCCGGAGGAAGCCAAGATTTCAAGTCAAGGGAGATACTGTGCAAAAAATATATATATATATATAACATAACAAATATAAAATATAAAAGAAGAATTTTAAGTAGAAGAAATAAAAAGAAAAAAAAGGAATGGAAAATGAGAAAACTTTAAAAGGAAAAAGTTAAGTGTTTCAATTGAGAAAGGAAATTTTAACTTTTTTTTTTAAAGAAAATTTAAGGAATGTGAAGAATTAACGAAAAAATAAAGTTATAATTTTAGAAAGAGAAATGATATTATTGACGACTTTAATATTCTAACTTAAAATCGATTTTAATATCCCAACTTAAAAATATGACAGTGTTATTATAAGATGAGAAGTGCTAATTTCAACTCTAAGAATTAATACTACTATTTGTTTCCATAAAATACATCAATTTGCCATAACTCTTTTCATCTTCTTTTTCATTTTCACAGCAACTTTCATGGTACTTATATACAAGAATTTGATTGGTACAAAATCTAGAACAAAAATTGCAATATTTTTCAATTTTCCAATGCTTTGCAATTTTTCTTTAAATTCCTCTATTTGTTTTTGTTTACATGGATCATTAATTTTGATCATTATAGTAATAAACAAATGTCTATCTAATTATATATAGGAGATGCAATCTTAAGTATTTATACCTCGAGAGATGCAATGTGATGTATATATAAAACACATATACAATTTGATATACACCAATAAAGATATTATATTAAGATGAAATCTAAAAAATGAACTTCAACTTTCCAAATAGTTAATTACCTTATATTTTAAAATGAATCCCATTATATTTGACACATAGGTAGTCACATAGACGCGGTGAAATAGTATGTTTTTATTTGTCGGGATAAATAGCCGTACTCTTTCAAAAATCACAAATTTTAGGGGGTAATGTATAATTTTTTATATATATGGAAAAAAAAAAAAATTCCCATATATATTATAGAGGGCAGGCCAGGCCAGGAGGCACGTCGTCTCTGTTCCTCTCCAAAATGCCATATTCTTATTGGAAATATTTAACATGCTGCGCAGCCATTTGTACCCGGACTCAAACTCTCATCATTTCCTTTGAAAGGTAAATGAGATATCATTAGAATACAAAACGTTTAATATTGCAACCCATATGCATAAGTTATATTATGAGTAAATTTCACCAATCTCTCTTAAAAGTAATTATTTGAAAATACACTCTATCATGTTGGATATAGTTTTATTCTCAAATTCCCCAATGTTGGTTGTCAGCAATTGAAAATTTTCAATTTTGTCCTAGTAATACTAATTTATTTTATTTTAAATCATGACTTGGAGACAACAATAACATGGAGTATATGGCATGGGATTTTGGTATAATTTTTAAATTGGAGGAGTGGATCCATATGATTATTAAAAAACCCAAATGAAATCCATCATGATTGCCTTTTATATTATGCATGCGCTTTATTACTATTTATATAATAACATCTATGCAAATAAATATTACTACTATGGATTATATAATCTTACACCTCATTGCAAAGGAAGACAAACAAAAATGGTTGGGGTAGGTGATTGTGTATGTGGATATCTAATAGCAATAGATTCCACAAGCATACAAACATATTAAAGACAGTCATTTTTCCCCAGCCATGGGGTATTGCAAACACATGGATTCGAATGGCCGGACGGCCTAGGCCCATGTGTTCATCGCAACAACTGTATATTCCCATTTCATTATTGGTGATGAATTCAAGAAAAATAACCCCATTACCATTTTTATTTTATTTTATAATATATTAGTGATGATAATCTTGATAAATACTTAAAACGAATCAAAAAAAAAAATAAAAAATTCACTGAAAGTAATTGTCCTCTGGATCGGAGGTTTGGCTTAACACCGAATCTGGATTTGATATCAACTTTAACGAGGACGCTTGCTCATTTACCCCAAAAGCTCAAATTGTTGAGTAGTGCTACATACTCACCCATTTATATCCAATAACTTTTCCATCCGAATTCGATGTTGGACAAATGACCATTGTTACACTTATCCACTTGAGCCAATCCCTTAAGGTTTGAATTCGGCTTTCTCTCACTATTATTATTTTTTAAAATTTTTTTTTAGTTGATACTCACACACCCTCCTCTAAGGAATTATTTGCACATATCAAGAATCGATCCTGAAATCAGATACTTCATGAAGCGCCAGGACCCAAATATTTTTTAATTAGGCTAACCCCTTGGAAGAGTAGATCCAACTAGGCCAACCTCTTCGGGTTAGGGAGAAATTATTAGATGGTTTAGGTCCATTCGACGGATCAGTTAAATTTAGACCGTTGTTAAAATTTCTTTATAATATACAGTATTAATACACTATTTTGAAGCCATTTTCTCAATCAAAGAGTTCGAATTAAATTGATTCAACAAATATTTATAGATCTAGACTATCTAATAATTTCTTAATTTTTTCATGTATTAAGTTGAATTTATCTAATCAATAAAAACAACTTCTTGTTCTTCTTTTCCTTTCCGTTTTAACTTTTGAATCATGATTCTAAAACTAATATGCATACATTAGGAAGTGTGTCAACATAATCGTAATTACAAGTCGACAAATTCGTCTGGACTTGATCGGCTCTCACTTGTTTAACAATTGAATATAACAATTGAATATTCTATTTTCACACATGATGCATGCTTTAAAGCCTTCACATCATGCTGTTTATAAAAAGATAAGATTACTCAAAAACAGCCAAAATTTGCGATGCAATCAAAGAATATTGGTGAAAATTATATTATTAACTTATCTTGCATAGCTGTAGCATTCTCATTCAAGCCTAATCTTTAAGAACTAGTCCACCACAAGAGGGACCATAATTATGAATTATTCCGGTTAGTATTATCCCTCTTTTTTTTTTTCCGGAAATTAGTATTATCCCTCTTCCCTCCAAGGAAAGTAAGAAGTTCGTACTTTATAATGGGTATTTTTAAGTGCATGTGAGTTTTTTGATGGATAGGGTGAAAACCGATAAATATAGTACGGTAAAATATTTAATCATTTTGAATTGTGCAATTTTTTTTCTTCTGTTTACCAAGGTATCGGCGGCTTCGCCCTGACTAATCTATAGGACCCATGCAAAGCAATCCCTGTACACTAATCGGATAAAGTCTGGACTATGTTTGCGATGGCGACCCACTGATCCTTAAGGAATTAATCGCACTTGAGAGGATTCGTATATGGGATTTAATACTTCGTGAAGCATTAAGTTTCAAGTTTCACCATTGGATCCAATCCCTTGGAAGTTTATTTTAATATATTTCGCACTTGTTATGTTGTCTTAGTACAATAAAATATATTTATTCATTTTAAACTCTATACATTATATGTCATTCTATGAACATAATAAAATTCATTATATTGACGTAATCTAAATTTTTTTTGATGATCCACGTAAAAAAAGTACAAGAAGATCCAGAGCAAACCTTACACATATGAAATCAAATTGGACTTGGCTCACTATTACACTTTGCAAAGGAACTACCAAGCAGATTGCAAATGAAACTAAACAAGAACACAATTCCACAAAATAAATACTATATGATATATCGAAATGAATTCTTATAATTCCATGGCTGAAGATTTGGTACACAACATGTAAAAACAGGTCGGCCAACCAACGACCTCTATGGTGCCTTCTAGAGAAATTGCTATATGGTTCGGATAATGTGATTTCGATCAATAATAACTAATTTTTTTAAAATAAATTCGACACATTTAATTATGTCTCATTTTCTCACATAACTGTACTCTCATCCTTTTTTTATACACAATGCAGACTTGAATTTATGTCCATGTCCCAAGAAATTGCATAAATGATGCATTTGACTTGTAACTTTAGGGCTAATTAATATTCCCATTCTTAGAAATAAATTATGCATTTGACTTGTAAAAATGAGAGTAGGAATAGAAGAACATTTTTTTGCTGTTCATATGCTAAGTCACATAGAGCGGGAGTAAAAGCGAGAATGGGAGCGAAAACGTTAAAGTCTAAATTTTTTTTAAAGTGGAAGCATCATTAAGTTTAAATAAAATTATATAAAGTTATGTGATTTTGTATGAATTTACTCCCAAATTGCAAATCCGCGTGTCGAACTTAAGAGCGGAATTACTTTGGACAAATTGTGTGACTAAGTTCATATGTACCATATTCATGGATTCGTTTTCAAATAGAACAATTATGTCCATTTATATAGAACAATTATGTCCATTTATTTATAGCTATCAAATGCAAATTGTACCATTTTCATTAAATTTTACTATTAAAGCATGGAAAATGTATATCATGCCACAGTTACTTCATAACCCAGTGAATTAGTGTTTTCTATAAATTTCAGAATGCTAGGATTCAAATAAAAAAAAAAAAAATTAGTAGATCATAGTGCAATGATATTAAACAAAATTTATTTGTACTAACTTTGAAATATATATATATATTTTTAAAAATTAAACTCTAGATTAAATTTTTTTGAATTCTATTCCGATTTGCAAGTAAGTGCAATGATATTAAGAAAACAAAAAGAAATAGGTTTCAAAAACTATTTGATAACACAAATTTATATAATAAGAAGACAAAATGGATTTCTAACTTTTTTATTTTTATTTTTAAGTTAACACCCTGGTATTCGAAAAGGCACGAATCCTTAGGGCCCATCAATTACGACTTCAATTCGGGAGGGTTAGACGGGTTTGAGATATAACTTGAGCCTAACCTACCATATGAAATACTAAACTCAAGTCTAACCCTAACCCCTTTCCTCAACCTTAACTACTCAACCCAAGCCCAACCCATCTTTCTACTTTTAAATTCGGGCTTGCAACTCAAGCTTAGATTCTAAGTAAAAATTTCGGGTTAATTCAGATTACTCGTATGCCTAATCTTTACACCAAAAATTTAATATGATTTTGAATTAGTTTTAGATTAAATTACTTTTAAACAAGAAAAAATTTAAATACATTTTGTAGATTTTTAATAAATTACAAACAAATTTTTTAAAAATTAATTCTCCCAAATTTTAACGTACAACAAGTTAAAATTTAACAAAACAACTTGAAAAAAAAAAAAGAAAGAAGTAATCATACTTTAAATATTATATATAATGTATTTAAAAGTAAAAATATATATAAAAATAATATTAGAATTCGAGTTGGCTAGCACTTCAACCCAAGTATAATCCTAATTGTAAAAATGATTATCCAAGTTCGTGAAAAATCGGGCTGAGCTCGAGTTGAGTTCTAGTTATCCAACTCAAGTTGCACCCCTACCTTCAACAACTCAACTAATCACTGAGAACTTGAAAGCGTGCCTTCCCTCCGGGGTCGGGTGACTCACTCTAGGGTCAATAAAGGTTAGTCATAAAGAACATTTAGCAAGATTCTAATCTCATATCTTGGGTTTGCTACGCTCCAAAATTTAACCAGTAAATCGCTGTGCTACGTTCGATGGGACAACGAATTTCTAAGTTGTTTTCAGAAGTTCTACAAAATCATATAAGTACTGAAGTAATTAAAAAATATATATATTAAAAATTACTCATACATAAATGAAAATTGCAACAAATATATATGAGTTTGGTGAAAGACCTAATTTTTGGTGATAAAACACAAATTACCAAATTTAGAATTTGATTTGGCGAAAGACCTAATTTCATATAATCTGAAGAAAATTCTTGTACATTTCCGGAACTGTTATGCTGCCAAAACACAAGGCGATGATTGTTCCGTTGACACGAATGTTGTCTCTGATCATCATCACATTCCTCATCTTTTACGAAGATAGGGTTTCGATACCCTCCTGCGAGGTCGTACCCAGACCCAATCAGGATGATGAATATCATCATCACCACCATCATCATCCGGAGGATTTGAAGGTGATGATAGTTGCAGACTTGCTCTTGTTGGGCTCCGAAGCTCCTTACATTAACATCTTCTTCAGAGACCATTACTTGTCCCAATTCTTCAGGGTATGCTTGTTCCTTCCTTCTGTTTCCATTCAATTTTAGGGTTAGGGTTTTTGAAACTTCATATATTAAAGTATTTTAGTGGGTTTAGAACTGAATATATCATGTTGTATTTTTGTTCCTTCTATTTCCGTACAATTTTAGGGTTAGGGTTTTTGAAAAATCATGAATTGCAGTATTTTAGAGGGTTTAGAACTGAAGATATAATGTTCATTATACGTATATGTGATTTTTTTTTTTGTTTCACCCAGCATTTACTTGTTTCTTTGGAATTTTACATTTTGGGTTCATATATCAAATAAGAAACATATTGATATAAAAGATAGTAGTAGGAAGCAATGCGTGATAAAAACACTCCAAAAGGTTGGTTTTCTTGGGGCTATATACGTTGTTAGGTAAGTTGGATATAGCAATTTGAAATAGCAGAAATGTTATAGTTGGTCGGTCTTATAGTGGTCAAGACCAATCAGTAGAAGAATTTTCCAAGAACAAGTATATGATCCATCTACAGGTGTGAATTTGGAGCTTTTCAACACTTCATTTGTTAACTTTATGAAGCCTTTTTCATTTACAACAAAGAGAATTTAGGTATACTGATGGAAGATGAGATCTAAGGAGGAAAAACAAGGAAGAAAAAGGTAAATGGCTAATATATATATTGAATTCGGCATGCATGAACCGAAACACTGAGAACTGGGATCAAATGTGGAAATTATTAATTTCATTATTAAGAGTTTTCATCATAGTGGAATGATGATTATCATGACAAACAAATAGAAGATTTTTTAATTGTACAGGAGTGATTTGCGGTTTTCCTATTAAATCAAGTTCATCATTTTGGTTAAATTATGGAAGGCAGATTGTTGTTAAAGCTGATTTTTCAAAGAAGAGGATGTCACTAATTTTCCCAAGTAAAGGTACTGCTGGCCTCCTTTATTTTAACTAACCTAAGTTTTATTACCTAGAAGAAGGTTACTTCTTGGGGGTAGGCTTTGCGAATGGAATTATTTGTCTCTTGGTATTTTTCTAAATTATATCGTCTTCCAAAACTAGGGTTATATGGTTCATTATCTTGGTTATTAGTGTGATATACTTCAATTGTGTATAATTGTTCTGGGTACTACCAAGCAGTAGCCTGATTGGCATCTCCTCTCACCTCCCACAAAGGAGCTTGAGGATTCAAGTTCCAAATGAATAAAGCGGGTGTATCTTACGTACTAAAAAAGAAAGAAAGAAAGAAAAGTCTTAGCACACATTTAGCGAGTCAGAAGTATGAATCAATTATAGTGACACCATATATATACGTACACATGCCTAACATACCCATATATATAACTACATATATATATATATATAACTACATATATATATATATATAACTACATATATATATATATATATATATATATATATATATATGTATATAAAAGTCACTGCAATGCCAGTAAACCATCAAATTCCATGCTAAACCACTAACCACTGTACCCAATGTTCATGATATAGAATTAAAGAATCATTAGCATACTTGATAGTGTAGTGTGTACTATTACTTTAGGGAAGTATGGTTGCAATGCATTTTTTAAAGGAAAAAAGCAAGTCAATATGGGCCTGTTTGCTTCAATTTCTTAAAAACAGTTATCAAGAACTCAGAAAATAGGGTTTTTTTAGCTGAGTTTTCAGAAAACATTTTTCAGAAACTGTCAACCAAAAGATGATTTAAATAGTTTTCTGATTTTCAGTTATCAGAAAACAGAATACAGAACCAAACAGGCTCTACACCCTGTCTCTAAACACACTTCATAGGATTTTTTAATTCTCACAATAATACTGTTACTTTACTGGAGCCTTGGAGGACAGTCACTCTCAAAGTGATTTAGGTAGATGTTTGCTCATCCAAGTGATTGTATATTTTCTATGTTCTATTATTGTTATACTTTTTTCTGTTAAAGGTCTGTCTAGAATGCATAAGCGGAAAGTAGAAGATTAAGCAAAACATACATATTAATTATTGAATCTTTAAATTTCTTCATTGACAAGTTGGTTTTTGTATCAATGGTTTGTGTCTTGAGGAAGAAATGTTATGTCTTGAGATGAGGTTAATGAACTCAAATCCATAGTTAACAATTGATGATCCAACAACCCTCTAGGGTTTATAATTATTGATACACTTGGTCAAAACTGATAACCCTGTAGTGTCATGTAGAGCAGTTGGGATATAGATGCAAAGAGTGTAAGGTTGAGATGGATCATGGAAGAAGTTTATAATCAATGTGTCAAAGGGACAATGCATTAACAAAACGAGGAGAATTTAATTTTCTGAATATTTTGTTATCCTCAGCTGTCTGTGGTTGAACTTTTATTTGATTCAAACTTCATTTTCTGATCATTTTTTGTCTACAAATATTTGAACCAGAAATCAATTGAAATCTTGAAGCCAGATATGCTGCTTGTATTAGGAGATGTTTCTGCTAGAGGATCAGATTTGACGAGAAGTGAGTGGTCATCTGTGCTCCATCAGTTTCATGGATTGTTGGGTCCCTTTTTTGACCATCCATTTCATGTTATTCTCGGAGATAGGGATATTGGAGAATGTGGTGCACTAAACACAAAATCTGTAAATTGGATAGCTAGCAGTTTTCCCGGATTGGATTCCGCTGGTTGTGGTGCCTTTGAAATTAGTAACATTAGCTTTGTTTCACTTAATGCTGTGGCATTGCTCTGTGGCAACAATAAGCTACGTTTTAGTGTTGAAAAAGTAATAGAGAGAGAAAGCATAGATTTGCGGATGGACAGTGAACACACAACAGAACTGATGATTGAGTCTAGCAAAATCAGTTTGACTTCCGGTGACGTTGGGTGGAGAGAAAATGCTGTGTCATCTGGGTCGGGTCCTGTCCTCTTACTTCACTTTCCACTGCAACAGATGACAAACAACAACTATTGGGGAAGTATTATCACTGATGGAACTAATCATTCATGTGAGAGTTCAAAAACACGACAGAGGTGCCATTCTTTTACCTACAGTGCATCTGAATCACACCTACCTTTAGTTATATTTGTATGTTGAAAAACGAAGGATATAGTTTTACGTATTTCTTTCTTATTTTGATTGGTAAGCAGAGAAAATGGACTTCTCTAAAATGCCCCCCCTTCTTCTAGTGCCCTGAGGGCTGTTAACAAGCTGATTAGCAAGCTGCTTGAGCTCTGCTTCCTAGATTAACGAGCACAATACTAGGATCGGGCTTTTGCTCATTTACCTCACAAATTTTTTGGAATTTGTTTCTCATCAAACAATTTTGTTCAAGCTTGAGTGGCATTGGGCAGCCCTTATTATGGCTTTAATCACGCTGATTTATTGTCTCACTGCTAGGATTGACCTAGGTTAGTTAAGGAACGATCTCGAATGGGCCCCTAATCAAGCCAAACTTATGGAGCTTATTTCGTCTTACTGCACCCTTCCAGCATATCCAGAAAAAGGAATAGGAGGAAAAAAACACGTTTGTGTTTGTACTTATAAATGCTCTTAACTATCTTCAAATCATCTCCTCAGATAAATTATAGATGAAGGGTTATTGTTGAGTTAGAGTCCTAACAGTTATATTTTGCTGCACTTTTGTTGATTAGTTATTGCCATCTTAAAAATAAAAGAAAAAAATAAATGGTAAACTGTTGGTGGATAATTTTTCATTATACTTTGCATGTATTTAACTGCATTGTGGGTCGTGAATTTTAATTTAGCATGCATCAGCCATACTCCTAAAAGTGCCAGTTCTTAACTTATATTGAACTTTTCTTCAGGGGGCTTGTTGGGACTGGGCCATATGACTTATTGCACACTCTCCCGCCAAATGCTACTGAATATATCTTCCAAGCACTTAAGCCAAGGTAACTCTTTGTTCTTTAATCCACAAAATAGTTGTCTGACTTGTATCTCTCTTTCTAGATCACATCTCATATTTAATCTTTGTAGATCACATCTCATATTTCCTGAAACTTTATTTGTTTATTCCATTGGAAGGCTTCTTCTTTTCCATACATGTCTTTTGTAATTCCTTGTTTGATTGATACACATCCAGATCTCTAGTTGGAAATAACTGTTATTCTTGTGATACAATTTTTTTTCATGTGTGATCATGAAAATTTCCTCTAACTGAAGGTATAAGTTGTATGTGCTAATGTGAAACTAGAGGATAAAGCTTTCCGCATGAAAATTTGCCATTGTTGAAGGATTTAAATATTTAAGTTACACTCTCTAACAACTTAAGCTTTTGGAGTAGATGGTAGTTAACATGGTATCAGAGCCAAAGGTCTCGAGTTCAAATCTCACCGTTACCTTGATAATTCATGTGTTGACCGAAAAGAAGCCTGCACGTGAGTGGGCGTGTTGAAGGATTTAAATATTTAAGTTACACTCTCTTAAACTATTGTTCATGTCATTTCCCTTTTGCTGCCACTAAGAACAAGAAAATGAATCATGATTTAAGATCACCTGATTTAAGATCACCAGATAGAATGCTAAATTAGAACTGATGCATACCTTTTGAGCCATTTAGTATGCGTATTCACCTTTCAGAAAACTGTTCTGTCCCTCATATTTTTGTAACAAGAGATCAAGATCTCTGCCAGCGAAGATATGACGTTCATGGAAATTGGAGGGTGTCACTCCTCGTTTAGTGCCATTATGGTTTAAGGCCTTTTTATATCATCTGTTGAAATCCTATGTTGACCCCTAGATTGTTCAGTAGATGCAAAATTAAGTTCTTAAAAGACCTTTTAAGAATTTTTTCTTGTGTTAAAAAAGGTGGACCTTTTCCTTTTATAAAAGAGAAAAAAATACCATTAACCCACTTTTATAGATTCAGGTTCATATTTCTCTTCTCTGAAAACCTACATGGTCATTGCTTTTTTGCCTGTGTGTGCGTGGGGTGTTTGGTGGTAAAAACTGTAGTATCACACTCAAACCTGTGTCGTCACTCATAGCAGTCCGAAATTTTACCATTGCACCTAGCAATAACCCCTTTTTTTTTTGGGTAAGCAAGCAGCGCACATACCCATTTGCCCCACTTGGGGCTTGAATCCTCAACCTCCCCTTTGGGAAGGTTGAGGAGGGTATACCACCCTAGCCAATTACCCCATTTACTAAAAACTACAATATTTGATTTGTGATGTTACTTATATGTTGGTTCTTTTTTCATCAACCCCATTTACTAAACTATAATAGTTGATCCTGATGTTGTGTGTGTGCGCGCACGTGCAGGCGTGTGCACAAGCCCTCCAGATCAGTTGTCCAGGTGTACACTGAGTGTGATACCTTCTGCAAGAGGCATAGCTCACTAATTTGGGAGGGCAGATGATCAACCAAACCACTGAAGTAGAGAATTAGGATAGAAAGACTAGTAAGGGTAATATTTATACTGAAAACTAGCAAGGATAGAAAAACGTAAAGGTTGAAAGAACCAAGAAACGTATGTATGCTCAACCAAATTTGGGCTTATATCAGTCTAAGTTGTTATTTTTCTAGTAGGGCAGCTGAATGTAACAGACGCAATGCCACTTCCTTGCTATGGGTTAAGAGTTTTATTTAGAACCTACCTTGTGCATGGCTGCATCCTAAATATTCTCCATTATTGGACACTATGAGACGTTCACCAATTTAAAACTTGACCAAATGATTTTTTTGTTAAGCCCATATTGTAATTGCAGAGTATAGATGGAGTTATTGATACATATTATAACCTAATTCCGTTTTCCCCTCTGCAGGATTGTTTTCAGCGCACATGCTCATGAATTTTGTGATCACATTCACTCAGATGGGACGCGTGAGGTTACTGTTCCGGCCATGACATGGGATGCCAGGGATGACCCTGGTTTTGTTGTTGCCACTTTCAGAAAGAATGGGGGAGCAGTAACTGTCAGTTATTGCTCCCTTGCTAAGGAATCTCATGTACTCACTGCTTATTTTTCTATTCTTGTCCTATTAATATCAACTATTGTTATGGCAAATACATCATCCTCAACAAATTCACAAAGTTGATATTAGAAGACCTCAGTATCATGCCAATCGTGTATAATATTGTACATTATCCTTTATAAGAAGGATGAAGTTGACTCTTCCATTTTTCAGGTAAAACAAATTGAGTTATGGGAAATCAAATTATGCCTACAAGTTCCCTTTTCTTTTCCCAGTCTTTCTTTCTTATGTTATATTTAAAATATTAAATACACACACACACACACACACACACACACATATATATGTATATTCTAGGCAATTTTTAGGTGTACGGTCTCAAGGTCTTGATGGAAAAGTGAAGATTCGGGATTTGTTTGGGCGTTTGATGAAAGAATCAACCAATTTATGATAGATTTATACTCGAGTCTCTAAAGAAACGGAGCAATCCGAAGAAAAAACTGGAATGACATTATGGAGAACTCCAAATTGATAGTAAACATGTAAAATAACTAAATCTGTTTAATTGTTATAGAGAAGAAAATGGATTCATTGCAATTGTGACAAGATACTTGTTCGAAATAGTTCCATTTTTGGTTGATAAAAATGTGCCAGTGGGAACTTAATAGTTTAAATAGTAAATATACAAGAAGCCAGATGAGGGGATGCTAGGACTGGAATGAATTTCTGGCGTTTTGAGGAAAATTTTCTGGACAAACTTTGTTGCATATTTATATTTCTACACAATTGATAGTTTGCATTAAATTCTGGTGAGTTGGTTTTTGATTGCACAGTTCCATTCTTGTTAAATAATTGAATGCTTTAGCAGATTCTTCATGAAGATAATAGCCCAGTTCAGTGCAATTATGTTGTAATTGGAAGCATGGTTTCTTTCCCCAGATGCTGACATTTATTAATCGAAATAAGAACTAAATTCAAGACACGAAATATTTTAAAACTGCCGAAGGAAAGAGCTTTTCACTCGGTTTAGGTATCTGTGATTTGCATTCTATCTATTGAAGCAACAAATAAGCTAAAACATGGGCTGTAAACTTTTTAACTCATGAATTGGCTTTTTATTTGCAGATTCAAAGCTCAATATCAAACTAGGATGCTGATGGGGTACTCTTCATCTCCTACGGTCAGGTAACAGGATCCCTCCTCAATCACCATTAAACCATCTTCGTTAGCTCCACTGAGATGCTCACAAGGGTTTAGTCCGAATTCAATTTCTGCTCTTTCCCCTGCATTCAAACTCACAGTCTGGAATCCAACCAACTGTTTCATCGGACTCCCATTTTTAAGCTTGGCATGCCTTACAAAAAGCAATACCGGGTGCTTACCAGCCATCTCACCGTGATTTTTGACCCCAACAACAGCAGAGAACTTCATGTTCTCACAGAATTTTGTCCCCAAGTTTGATACTGCCATGTAATTGCTTGAATCTGAGCTCTTGATCACCTGGGCATTTGATGATTGATTTAGGTAGAGCTGGTTTTGGGTAACAGAGACGAACTCATAAGAATAGTGTGAGTAGCTTAGACCATAGCCGAATTCAAAAACTTTTGTGCCTTTGTAGAAGCGGTAAGTGCGCCCAGGATAGCCTGAGGATGGTTGAGGCCGCATTCTCATGTCTGTCATCGGTATTTTTATGAAATCTTTTGGATACCAAGTGATGGGTAGTTTTCCTCCTGCATGGCAACATGACTTACATCATCAGATTCAGAATGTCACTGGCACTGGACTGCTTTAGTGCTTTAACTTATTTTTGTTCAAAGCAATGTACAAATGTGCTATTATAAACATTATTAGTGAACTTCACCTGGGTTATGGTCACCGAATATGATTTCTGCAAGTGCAATTCCTCCTGCTTCTCCCGGATAACCAGCCCACAATATGCTTCCAATTTTCGGGTCATGTTTGGCGAAAGAAATGTCAACTGGACCTCCACATAGCAGCACCAGCACAACTGGCTTCTTTGCAGCTTTAGCAACACTTGTGATGAGACTCTGCTGCTTCCCTGGGAGCACCAAGTCCTCACGATCGTGATCCTCCCTTTCTTCACTTTGATCCAGTCCCATAATCAGCACCACATAGTCCGCGGCCTTTGCTATCTCCACTGCTTTACTGATTGAAGCAGAAGTGCAACTGACCGCGTTGCAACCCTGGTGAAACCTAGTACTTTTGACATAGCTCTGCAGTGCTTGTAATGGCGTGACGGATTTGCAAGGAGGGCCTTCGTAGTTTCCGAGAAGTGTGTGCGCGACATTGGCATTGGGGCCTATCACAGCAAGGGACTTGGTTTTTGTTTTCGGAAGCGGGAGGAGCTTGGCTGAGTTCTTCAAAAGGACAATGCCATTTCGCGCAGCTTCAAGGGCGAGGTCCTGATGCTCCTTGGTACACACGCAATTTGGACCGATGTCGGCATATGGTAGGTTGCTTGGGTTGCCATTGAACAGTCCCAGTCTCATCCTAACAGAGAAGAGGTTGCAAAGAGCTCTGTCGATTTCGGATACAGGCAGTTTTTTCTTTTCAACTGCTGATTTGGTGTAGTTTTTCAAGTAGGAACCACAGTTGACATCCATCCCTGCGAATTTAAGGTACACACTAGTTAGTCTTATGTAGTTTGCATTCGGTTATAAATTCATCTGAAAATGAACATTACGGACTTGGTCGTGATTAGATTGCACAACCTCAGCATTTAGATCTGTGAGTTCCACCGTAAAACTTACAAGATTCAAGAGTTGAGTTACGAAAGTCGGACATATCCAACAATAACATGACATAAAGTAGTCCGATTAGTCCATCATGGGTTTTGAATGTTGAAGACGGAAGCTAATACTTGTGTCGGTAATAATAGTTCTATTACGAGTGTACGAGATTGAATTTAGTACCGTACGATGGGCATGCTTAAATGTGGAGATGTGCATCAAATGAGGAACATCCAAACCATGTCAGATGGGCCAGCTACGAGCATCAATCTTTTCACTTTTTTAAGGAGATTCTGTCGTCTACTCTTTGGTCATGTACTTAAAGATAAAGTCGTCAGTTATGACTCATCAAATCAAGTAGATCCACAAGCGGAAAAGGATGAAAAAATAATCTGTGAAAATACATGCATCGTCCAAGAAATATGTCCATTTCATGGTCCCCTAGGATGGCCCAATCACGCCCCCACTTTGAATTTCACCAAATGGTCCACCTTCTACTGGTGCATAATCCATAAGTTTTTGGATAACTGTTGTATTGCAGTGGACGGTCCACAAAACATATAGTGCGATTGCATTGTCGTACTCTATTTAAGTTGCTTGGAATAATTATTATATTGAAGTTTTAAGTTCGAGTTCTGATTTAAACACAAGGAACGTAAATAGAGTCTAGACGCCATACCAGCTTTGAGAGCAGCAGCTACTGCATCTTCGGGTGTTTTAACGTATCCTTGATTATCACGCATTATCGAGACCGCGTCACAGTCGGATGTTATGTATCTGATCATATATATATAAAACAAAGTATATGAATTTTAAAATCATTAAACGGCTCAATTCATGGAGGATTATATAATTTATTTTATTTTATTTTCTTTTTAATAGAAAAAAAAAAAAAAAAAACAAAGGTTTTAGGTGTACCCTTGGAAACCCCACAGACCACGAGCAGTGTTGGACAAGAGATTATGATCAGCACAGTTTGGGACACCATTCACGAGGTTGTACGCACACATTATCCCACTGGCTCGTCCTTCTTTTATGCACTTCTGGAATGGTGGTTGATATGTGTCCGCCATGTCCTGTTTACTAACCTGTCTCACCACAAAATTAAATTACATTATTTATTATTATTATATATTACATTGGCAAATGATATCATTTCCTTCTTGGAAATAGAAGTTTTAGAGTTATAAATGAAAGCGATCAACATTCTCTTCTAGTAATTGCTGGATTGATCTATGTCATCTTCAATAAATAACAAAAAAATATATATATATATCTTTTTATTACCGACACAAAAAAAAAAGTTTTTTTGTTTTTGTGTTTTTGTTTTTTGTGGGGGTGGGTAATTAGGTAAGAATATATTTTTATTACAACTAAAGCTACCAATTCTTGGATTCCTTTCTTTCCAATCAAGAGAGTCAAAATCAGAACCCTAGAAAGAGAAATAGTCTAAAGTTAGCTTAGATGTCGTTTTTTGTTTCTTTGAAACGTATGCACTTTCCAAGGTAAATTGCATAAAGCTTTCTCATGTTATAAAAAATGTGCAAATCACCCCATTGTATTGAACTTTAAGCAATAATCACCCTCAATTGTTTTTTCAATTTAAAAATAAATAAATAAATTGAAGTACTCCTCTTTGTCAAGTTACCACAATAAATAAACACTAAAAATATTGAGATTTTTAAAAAATCCCAATTTACTCGTTCAAATTAATAGCATAAAACTCCTTCAATTATTATAATTCAAAGGAGTAACGCATTCTTTTTTTCCTACTTTACTCACACTGTCACACCCCTTAAAACGAGTCCAACCTTATACCTAATATTTTCTAAGGCATCAGGACCAAGTGACTTACTGTAACAAGGGTCATTTGTCCCACATCGGATTTGGATAGAAAAGTGATTGGGTATAAGTGGGTGAGTATGCAGTTCTACCTAACAGCTTGAGTTTTTGAATAAATAGGCAAACGCCTAACCGTTACAGTTGGTATCAGAGCCAGACCCAATCCTTGATTCGGTGTCACGTCAAGTGCCTGATTCGGAAGGCATCTTGGTGAACATCCCGGGTAGGTAGAGTGGCCCAAGTCGCAATGAGAGCGTTGCGAGTTTCGGATTCGAATAAGAAAGTGATTAGGTATAAATGAGTGGGTACATAGTACTACTCAACAACAACTTGAACTTTTGAGTAAATAGGTAAGCGTCCATCCGTTACACTTACTCGCTTGAGCAAACCTCTTGAGTAATAAGGGTTATTTGTCCCACATCGGATTCGGATAAGACAGTACTACCCAACAGCAACTTGAACGTTACACTTACTCGCTTGAGCCAACCTCTTGGGTAAGGAGTAATGCATAATTTTTTTTTTTACAATTAGCCCTACTTAGTTTAAAAAAAATTATTTATTTTATTATATTATTATTATTACCCAGGCAAGAAACCAATAATTTATTGATAACAACTCAATCAGAGGAGGCAAGGTTCGCTACTGACATTGACACATTGCAATCCCACAAGCTAAGTTATGGGCTCCTTATTTGAATTTTTTATGTCATGAACGTGAGGTATATATAGTTTAAAAATAAAATAGTAGAATAACATAAATCACAAACCCAAAAATAACCATGTTTGGGGGAAAGCAAAAAACTAATTAAAAATAATAATAATAAAAAACCAATTGAGCATGGGGCATTTTAGTAATCTTACCACAGCATCAAAGGAGAAACGATCAATTTTCTTCCACCTATCCAAGTCGTAGGCAGTGAAGTGCTTGCAACAAGCAGAGGCTTGGAGGTGCCCATCTTTGAGCTGCCCGCCTTCAAAAGAGTCCCCTTGGACACCCCTCACAAATGAGACTGCATATTTCCCACTGACCAATGGGTCCTCGCCAGGTGTCTCTTGTCCTCTCCCCCATCTTGGGTCCCTAAATACATTTATGTTTGGTGCCCAAAATGTCATCCCAATTGCTTGCCCTTCATTGTACACTGCCCTAGCCTCCAACCCAATGACCTTCACACCAACAAAAGCATCAATATTATAATTTATTATATTTCTAATGTCAGTTGCTTAACTTTTTTTGAAAAAAAAAAATCAATATATATAGATACATATATAGCATTGACACACACACATATATATATATATAATATTTTTTTTTAAAAAAATAATGGTGTCCGAATCATCAGAGTTACCCATAATTCATCACGTGCATTTTTGTAATTTTCTTTTTTGTTGTTTTTTGTATTCATATTCTACCGACTAGGTCTGCTTATAGATAACATAATTAAAGTTTATTAATATTGCACATAGACCCTTTATATTTTATAATTTTACTTATTTTTCTAAGATTCTAACTTATATAACAGATTCCTCATTCTCTAATCATTTTGTCATCTTACCATTCTAATGCCTAAAATGACAACTGAACATTTCATAGGCAAAATAATATAAAAAATCACTTATAACATACGTAGGTGAAATTATGAAACGTAAACAAATCTATATAAAATATTAATAAATCTTAGAGGTAAGTTAAATATATTAAATATCAATTAAGTGAAATATATCAAATATCAGTAGGACTGTAATAGAAGTTTGTTTTGTTTTGGTTTTTTTTTTTTTTTTTTTTTTTCAAAATAGTGTGAGTAAAGGTGTGCTGTTGCTGCTAGCAATGAGTTAACTCACTATTGACTCACCTGACCGATGCGATACCAGAGGTGGGTATCGAAGGAAGCGGCGGTGAGAATGATTTGAGGGAAGCTGGTGGCGGAGCGAATGGTGCCATTCAATAGGATGCCAAACCCGTGATCGGATACGCCGTGCAACGCCTCGGACCACCACTCGTAGGCGGGGACACCGAGTCGCGGAATCGCTGGTGCTGTGTTAACGAGTTGGGAGATTTTCTCGTCTAGTGTGAGTCGGCAGACGAGGTCTTTGGCTCGTTGGGAGATGGGTAATGCGGTGTTGCAGAACGGCAACGAGTTGGTTGATGGGCTGGATGGGCCGCATGAGAATGGGGGCTGAGTCGACTCAGCAAGAACGATGAGTACTGTAATGGATATGAGATTTATGATACTGACTCTACTATGGAGTCTCATTTTGTGAAATTGGTGATGAATGAGAAGAGTAGTAGTGAAACAAAAGAAATGGAGTTATAGAGGTAGAACTGAGTGCTATCTTAAGCAAGAGCTATCTATATATTATATATATGTGTGTGTGTATGTATGTATGTATGTATGTATGTGTATAAGCGAAAGACGAAAAGGCAACTGGATTGTTGTTACTGATTAGTCAAACTCATCAATTCTTAGTGTTCGAATGACAAAATTGTCCTTGTGCACTGTGTATTTGTGTGTGCATATATTTACCAGTAATATTTTCCTTTTTATGAAAATAAGGGAGATAATTATTGAAGAGACCTAACAATTGCCAAAAAGAAAAATTATTAAGTAGTTTGAGTGTACACTTTTGACTGTTCCATCCACAAAAAAATGCAGTTGGATTTGTTTGATTTTTAGATTCGGTATTACATTGCAACCCTTTAGATTTAGTGTCCCGCAGAGCTCACAACTCGTGATTGTCTTTGTATTTGACATCTTGTAAGAAAAATTATATTCCGTAATTTAGTAATCAAACTTAATTATGGATGTACTATTATTATAATTTGAGTAACTTTGTATACATAATGTTCATAACTTCTTCTAGAACCAGCTGTTATTGAATCTCCATCTACAAATGGATAAGACTTCTACTTAGCGTCCAGGAGTTCTTAAAAGTAGAGAGTAACAACTTATTTCTTCTTCTAGATCAAGAAAATGGTATTACTCATTTATTTTTATTTAGTAGCTTTAACTTGCATATACATTTTTTTTTTCTTACATAAAAAGAAAAAAGGATTCTTATAGATTGGTTCATGTTTGAGCATCGTGCTTTACTTCTGTATTAATTTGTAATTTACAAATCTTCTCCCTAATGTTAATTGTTATTTTACATTTAAAATAAGTAAAAAAGGTTCTTAATATTTATATCTCATAAAAGAAATAAGAAATTTTTTTAACTGACTTCAATAAATAGTATTTAATAAGAACTTTTACAGAATAATTCTAAAAGGTTGGTTCAAGTGGATAAGTGTAACAAGGGTCATTTGTTCACATCGGACCCGAATGAAAAAGTGATTGGATATAAATAGGTGGATATGCAATATTACCCAATAATTTAAGTTTTTAAATAAATAAATAAGTGTCTAAGCATTACAAAAAGTCACTTGACCTTAATATCTCACAAAACATTAGATCTAAAGTTCAGCTCTTCTTATATACAAACAATTTCTTACAAGGGTCAGTTGAATTCCTCAAGAGGGAATATCAGCTAAAAAAAAAAAAAAAAAAAAAACTCTTACTAAACAATTTAAAAAGTATAGTCTATTTCCTTCCAAATTGAAGGTAAATGTGTAGTGTGTGAGTTTTTTAGCGGATAAATAATAATACAAAATAAAAAGAAAACTTTAATGAAAAATTTACCATAAGGAAGAGATTAATTATATCAGACAAACTGGCAATGGAACCTGCAAAAGTTCAGAGATTGTATTTGGTTTGCAGATGATTTGTAAAAGATGGTGAGGCAGTTGCTATTAAAAGGCTGACAGAAGTATCAATTACTCGTGAGAGCAGAGAAAATGAGGGTTATTTTTTTTTATTATTATTTATTTATTTATTTTTTGACATAAAATGGAAAACTTAGACATGTTTAACATCCAAGTTGATAGGAAAAAATAAACCTAACCTACCTTGATTTAACGATAAAGACAACTAAGTATTTAACCAGTCGCCAGACCTCTTCGACTTTCGAACGATGATATTTTTATTGGATAAGAATGATAATATTTCATTATCAAGGATAATGAAATATGACGTGGTACAACAGGGTAAGAGTAATCTTGGCACAATTTGAAGAAGTCAAAAGGGTTAAATCATATCCCCGACAAATCTGGCAACAATCGGATCTCCTCTGATCTCACATAAGCAAATCTCCTCTGATCTCGCACAAGCAGATCTCCTTTGATCTCGCAAATGAACTGAGGGAGAATGACTATAAGAATGAGATCATACCAGTCAATAAAAGTACGACAAAAAACTGTTATTAAATTCCTGCCTTTTTTAGACCTCCGGTGACCGACTTGATCGTCGGAGAACTCTTAGCAGGCACCACACCGGTGCCGTCAAGATTCATCGATCTTCAACTCTCTTTTTTGCAGGAAAACGGTGTCGTATCAGACTGCGTGAATTTCACCCTCAACAGTTGGCGCCGTCTGTGGAAACGACGATTCCCTTAAATCAATTACTCGGTTGGGTATATGCACTTGCGGTCCGGTATGGTAACTGGAACAAAAACATCGCTGCAGGGATCCAGTCAAAGAGAAGGGTCGGGTGAACACCCAGATGTCCCGAATGACTAGGAACGGCTTAGCGTTAGAACTACAGGTCCAAACTCTGAATCAGGGTATGGACCAGTTCATCCAACAAAATGCAGAGATCCTGCAACATTTTATCCCAGCGGGACCACCACCTCAACAAGAATTGTCCGACCTATATCCTTCCAATCTGAATGATAGGGGACAACACGAGGAGGACAGAGAAAACAATCATTCTCACAAGTTTGATGCAGAACAAAGCCAAGTTGGAAACTGACGCAAAGAACTCCTTCCCCACCTTCGCGGAATCCCCAGTCTCAAACAGGCATAATCTTGTGTTAAGAAAAATAAAGAGAAACTTACCTATTTCGACCTACAGATTGAGAATCTCAAGGTGAAAATGGAAGATGTAATGCAGGCTATGAAAGGGAATGGTCCTGCCGCCATAGATGACCTAGTGTTGAGGACCAACTTACCGTTCAGCCCCGCCGTTATGAAATGCCCCCTGCCTAGCAAGTTCAGGATGCCCTCGTTCGAAAGCTTCGATGCGACCAAAGATCCCCTTGATCACCTGGAGACCTTTCAAACTCTTATGTATTTACACGCCGTGCCAGATGAAATCATGTGCCGAGCTTTTCCCATTACATTTAAGGGATCGGCAGGAGTTTGGTTCAACAAGCTGAAAGTAAGGAACCATCAACACCTTCGAAGAACTGAGTAAGCAATTTGTTAGCCACTTCATTACAGGTCAGTGGTATAGGAGGCCGGTCACCTACCTGTTTACCGTGAAGCAACAGAAGGGAAAGTCGATCCGAGAATATATCACCCGATTCAATACAGAGATGTTGCAGGTAGAAGAGGTGGACGACAAGGTGGCTTTGACCGCTTTCATAGGAGGACTCCAAACCTCCAGATTCTTGTTCGCCTTTTCTAAAGAACCTCCCACCAGCATGGCAGAGTTGTTGATCAAAGTGCAGAAACACATGAACGCTGAAGACGCCATGAATGCATGAAAGGGAAAGGAAGGAGAGGACAAGAAGAGATCAGCCCCTCTCACCAGGGATGAAAAGGATACCAGCTATAAGAGATCATTCTTCAGCCAAAGCGATAGGACATATCGTGAGGATGACTCAGATAAGTATACCAACTAACAATTGTCTCACAGCTGAAATTAGCCTTATCAAGTCATTCAAAATAACGACTGGAGGCATCTCAGTTCATTATTTTAAATGGAGGGTAGCTCCCTCACGTGTTATTTTGTTTTCTAATAAAGTCACCATCACCAATGAGATGGATGACCCTCAATTTTTACGCAATAAAATATTACGTTTTCAGTTACCTACCTATGTGGTAATATTAAGCTCATAGTAATTTACTTATCTTATTAAAGGGACGAGAGACCGACTACACCTTGTTAAAGGTTTTCTCATTAAAGGGACCAAGGGCCAACAATACATTTTTCCCTCATTAAAGAGACGACTACCTCTCGTATTAAAAAGGGTCACGCTCCTTCAGACTACACCTCTTTCCCCCATAAAGGAACGAAGGGTCAACTTCATCTTCATTCCTCGGTAAAGAGACGAAGGGTTAACTACTCCCTTATTAAAGGGTGAGCTCACAACGCTCGAGCAAATCTACTTCCCTTATTAAAAGGGGCAAGAAAGTAATCATCAAGCATGCTTAGCTCAGTAGGACAGCATTCCCGACGCTTGACAAAAACCTAATTCCCTTACTAAAGGGATGAGCTGAGTGAAACTCGTAAAATCTAATTCCTTTACTAAAGGAACAAGCTGAGTGAAGCTCGTAAAACCTAATTCCCTTACTAAAGGGACGAGCTGAGTGAAGCTCGTAAAATTTAATTCTCTTACTAAAGGGATGAGCTGAGTAAAGCTCGTTCCCTTATTAAAGAAGTGACGAGTTGAGTGCAGCTCGTAAAATTTATTCCCTTGCCAAAGGGATGGGTTGATTGAAACCCATGAAGCTTATAACTAGTATATCGGATTTTCAAAAGAAAAATCCAGTTTTACATCACTAAGAGTTATTGACCAGGGGTTTGAATCATGCCCTTCCAAAACAGAACCTTGATTTGGTATCTGTATTAATTCCACCATTGGGAAGAGTACCCAACGGAACAGTACTCAAGGGAAAATTACCCAAGCGAACATTACCTAGGGGTAGAGTACTCAATGGAAGATTACCCAAGGGAATAGTACCCAAGGGAAGATTATCCAAGGGCAGAGTACCCACGGGAATATTATCCAAGGGAAGAGTTCCTAAGGGTACCACAAAAAAAAAAAAAAAAAAACTGTTCATGTGAACAGTAACTCGCGGGCACTGTAGTGCCCAGGACGAATTTTTTTTTTTTACTATTCATGTGAACAGTAACCCCTGCGGGCACTATTCCCGAACGAACAATGCCCAAGGCAAAAAAAAAAAAAAAAAAGGTTTACTGTTCAAGTGAACAGTACCTGCGGGCACTGTTAGGGAAAAAAAAAAAAAAAAAAAAATTCACATTCCCAAAGCTAGAAGAGCAAGTTTGGGAATGGGGGGGCAACTGATAAGAAAAAATAAACCTAACCTACCTTGACTTAACGATAAAGGCAACTAAGTATTGACCAGCCGCCAAACCTCTTCGACTTTCGAACGATGATATTTCTATCGGATAAGAATGATAATATTTCATTATCAAGGATAATGAAATATGATGTGGTACAATAGGGTAAGGATAACCTTGGCACAATTTGAGGAAGTCAAAAGGGTTAAATCATATCCCCGACAAATCTTGCAACTAATGGATCTCCTCTGATCTCACATAAGCGGATCTCCTCTAATCTCGCACAAGCGAATCTCCTTTGATCTTACAAATGAACTGAGGGAGAGCGATTATAAGAATGAGATCCTATCAGTCAATAAAGGTACGACAAAAAACTATTATTAAATCTCTGTCTTTCTTTTAGACCTTCGGTGACTGACTTGATCGTCAGAGAGCTCTTGGTAGACACCACAACGGTATCGTCAAGATTCATCAATCTTCTACTCTCTCTTTTGCAGGAAAACGGTGTTGTATTGGACCGCGTGGATTTCACCCTCAACACAAGTACTTCATGTAACGTCAATTTTAGGTTGTTGTTTTTTACCCCAATATATATATATATATATATATATATTATGTATCTATGAATATGATAACTTCAAGTTTTCATAACCAAACTAATTGACACTTAATCTATCAGTGTTGATTTATAAACCATGATTCATGCCTGCATAACTATATGATATGAACTAGTCTCTCTTGCCAAGACAACACACCATATAAAAAAGACTCGTTCAATAAAGATGAGGGTGAGCCACACATACTATTTCATTGGTATATCCATCAAATTAAAATGCATTTTCAATAAAATTGGTCTTCATTGGAATATAAAAAACTTCTAACAAATTAAGAAAAAATATATATATTTTTTAATTTAATGGGTGTATCAATAACTTGAAAGTTCCGGCTCAAACGATATATACTCCGTTCAACGAATGAGGCTATTGTTATTGTGCATTTAGGGAGTGAGCTCAGTTACCTAGGGATGTCTCATTCATCTATTCTTCTCTCCCTTCCATTCAATTTTTCTAAGAAAGTAAACAATCTCTTCCTACCAAAAAGAGGAAAGTAAACCATCTATTCCCCAGTAAATTGCTTTTGATATATATATAACTTGATCAAGTTGTACAAAGTGGAAAACAAAAAAAATCTTTCGACTACATGCATAGTCATATTATCTTGAATTTGCCAATCAATTAAGTTTCTCTCTCGAGCTCCATTTAGTAGGATGGAAGAAAATTAGATGGAAGGAAGAGATGAATGAAACACTCCTCCCTTTCTTCTTCTTCTCTTCTTTTTTTTTTTTTTTTTTTTTTTTTTTTTTTTTTTTTTTTCGAATTAAATCAATGAATTAAGAGCTTCTCTTTTTTCGCCTTCTTTGTCAATATGGATTGTAATGACTATGGGAGAAGTTATTACTTACTCCAGTCAATTGTCAATAGATACGAGACACGTAAGTAACTGTATAAAAAAACATGTGCAAGTTTTATTCAATGTTTTACTTACATATTCAATAATGATTGGTCAGGAAAAATGATCTAAGGATCATAAAAAAACATTCGTCATGATTATGGGTAGTTTGGTCTTTTTGTACAAAGTTTTATTATTATTATTATTATTCTTAAATTGCGTTAAAATAATGGTGGCATTTTTTACATTTCACTCCCTCTCTTGCTCGGAAGTCAGACTAGGCTATGGGGCACCTTTTTTTATTATTTTTTATTATTATTATTTTACCTGGGCAAAAAAGGTTACACTTTTGACTCTTCTAGCACTTGAATATTCACCCTTTGATTAAAGAGATAAAAAAAAATTAACTGAAAAAATGAATAACGAAAGTATAGCATGTAAAATCCCTAATGAATATATAGGTGAATGTTTCATTCCAGTTGTAAACACACACATATATGTATATGTATATATATATATTTTTTCAGATAGTAATTACTAATTAGTAGTATGCTAGAGAATCTTTCTTTGTAGGGGTTCACATGCCGATGGTCGAAACTAGCGCACTTGAAATGTCGGGACCGATGGACCATTAAGGTGTAATAAAATGACAAAATCATCCTTACGCACTCACTTATTCTTCCCCGTGATCTTTTTTTCATTCTACCCAAAAATAATCTTTAATAATTGATAAATCTATATTAATTATTTTTGCATATTCAATTTTAAAATTTATGGAAAAAACAACTCTCTTGTTTCTTTCATTACGTGTTTTTTTTCTAACCGATCTCGAAATGCTTACATTTGTCTCAGTGAAAAATTAGAAATGGTAAGAGGAGATACATATTTTTTAAGAAATACGAATGGAGTACCCAAGATACTGATAATATATTACCCGACCAATGATCACAGAGGACGTATGAGAATATATTCTATCACTTTGCCTTCCTTATGTTAATGTTATTCCTTGAATACACAAGTGATAACATTAACATAAGGAATGAGATTCATCCTATCAAGAAATAATCTATAATAATTAATAAATTTAGATTGGTTAATTATTTTCGATATTCGATTTTAAAATGTATACCGAGTTCAAAATGCTTACATTTCTGTCATACATCACAGATGACGGGTGAGAATATATTCTATCACTATGTTATTCCTTAAATGCACAAGTGCCAAAGTGATAGTTAATTCCAATAAAAAGACCCAAACCATCATCTTCTAGAGTCTGATGTATCAATGAAGTGAGTACCCGTTACAAATGATTTGGTTTGGTTGGAGAATTGGACTTGACTATTCGGCTACAATAGCAGTGCCCTCTATGAAACGAGATTTATCATATAAGCCACTTTCGAGAATTAATTTATCTTAGAAACCACCTTGCGTCTCGAGCCCAATCTATTAGCCTACCCAAAATTTTTGTTTTAACAGAATAATAAGTCCAGTAAAATCCAAAAATATTAAATTAGATGCCTTTGAGGAGAGAGTTTTGGAAATGAACTAATTAAAGGTGCCTTCGAGAAAAGAATTTTGAAAATGGCCTTATTTTCATAAGATCTTTAGGGAAAGTTTTTTAGTGCAACACTAAAAGACGGTCTCTAATAGCCTGATATTATATTAAATATAAAAGTGAGAAAGAAATTATATATTGTATTGATGTAAGAGATGTGAAGATATATGAAATTTATATAGATGATGAGATGTGTGGAGAACAAGAAATTTAAACCTTATATAATAAACTTATACATTGTTAAAATATATTCTACAATATAGTAATAATATATTTTACAATGTAGTAATAATATATTCTACACTAACAAATAGCAAGCACTTCAATTAGTGGATATGTCCTAACATTATGCTTTTTTTATCATTGTTTTAGAAGCAGATTCCTGTGTAGTACTTTGGAATTCCAATCAACTTGTTGAGATTTTATTAGTTGAAGCATATATCTTTCTAAAAAACTGTGGGTACGTAAGAGAATCCAATTCAAAACCCACCACTTGGATTTCAAATTCTATAGCTTTTGTAGTTTTCAAGATTGAAAGAAATGGCATGTATATATATAGGAGGGAAAGTGTTGAAGTTAGTGTAATTTGAAGGCCTAAACTAAAAAGATTAGACCCTTGAAGAAAGCCAAATTATATTAGCTAGCTAGCTAGCATGAAGAGTTCACTTGGATTTCCAATTTGTGTAAATAAAAATAAGGCTTATATTGGAATTATCCTTATACAATTTATCAATGCAGGCACGGCCTTGCTCTCCAAGGCTGCACTTGTTAGAGGAATGAATTCTTATGTGTTTGTTTTTTATCGGAATGCTGTTGCCACACTTGTGTTAGCTCCATTCGCTTTTTTCCTCGAAAGGTTGCTCCAACGTTACAATTTTAATTTACACTACTGCATGCGTTTGAATTTGCTTATGATATTAACTAACTGCTTGGTTTTTTACTTTGCAGTAACAAGTCAGCCCCTCTATCATACAACTTACTCTGCAAGATTTTCTTTGTTGCTTTAGTTGGGTATGCCGCAACTCCCTTTTATTTTGATCTCATGCATTTACATTGAGGCTTGAATTCTTGATCTACCTTTGAAAAGTAGGGGTCTGGTACCGCTAGGTCACGGGCCTATTAGTACATTGAACTACTTTTATGATGTTTAGTGAGCTAATGTTTAATTAACTCGTACTAAAATTAATTTTTTTTACAATTTCAGGTTCACTGTCTGTCTTAATCTCTTCAATTTCGCTTTAAAATACACCACTGCAACATATGCTTCTGCCAGCATGAACACAATTCCGGCCATTACATTTATCATGGCAGTTTTCTCAAGGTAAAGCCAAAATAAATGAATACTCCCTCTGTCCTAAAAAAAATGTCATGCTTTTCTTTTTGGTTTGTCTCAAAATAATTGTCACTTCCCTTTTTCAAACAATATATTTTACTTCTTTCCATATATGTTCTTGAAGTTTAAAATTTCAAACTTGAATATTCAAAACTTAGAAGGGCAAATTAGGAACTTTTTAGAAAGACAAAGCATGTCCTACACATTTCCTTAAAAATTCTTACTCTCCAAAAGCAACATCTAAATTGGGAATGGAGAGAAAAATAAAATATCAATCATCAAATATTTTGGGAAAATAATAATAAACTTTTTCTTTAAGGAAATTACAACTTAAAGTGTGCATGCTATATGATTTTGAACATTTCAGGATGGAAAGAATTTCTCTGAGGCAATGGTATGGAAGAGCCAAAGTGTTGGGTTCTATGATGGTTCTTTCTGGGGCTATGGTGATAATACTTGTTAAGGGGCCTCCTATTTATTCAGGCACCCAGAAAGGAGCTTCAAACGCATCAATAAACCATATTTCCAGAGGAAACTGGATAAAAGGCTGTCTAATCATGCTCTCAGCCAACATAACATGGTCCACGTGGCTTATTTTGCAGGTTCATCTCTTATATCTCTATCTATATTCGTGTGTGTGAAGTTGTGACCTAAATTTTGTTTCCATCTTTCTCTCTTATTATTTAAGACCATACGTGAACTCCATTTCTAATATCCTGTAACTCAATATATAAGGGTGCTATGTTCTTTAACTTGGATACCCGAACGCTGAAAGAAAAAGGATTAGGGATTGAGAACTTATAATCTTCATTTTTCTTTGCATAATGAAAACTTTTCGTCCATCTTCAATGGAGATGTGACTTCGAACATTGCGCGGGCAAGGTTAGCATTTATGTGTGAATACCTCTTAAATCTGTAGAGAGAAGAGATCGAAGATAAATCTTTGTGTATTGATTTCGGCTGTCCTAACAATATATTATAAAATTAAAAAAGCTTCTTCAATATGGTTTTTGTTCTTGCTTTTAGGCCCCCATTGTGAAGCAATATCCATCCACACTACGTCTTGCAACTCTACAGTACTTCTTTAGCAGCATACAATCAGCAATATGGGCGGTCGCGATGGACAGGAAGATATCATCATGGAAGCTTGGTTGGGATGTGAATCTTATCTCCGTGCTGTTTTGTGTAAGTTCTTCATCCCTAATCACAACTAATCTTGTGAAAGTAAGTTTTACCTATTCATATTCAAATAGACTTTGGTATCTTAAATTTTTTGCCTTAGTGCACTAAGTCCCCCACTAATTTCAAAAAGTTGCATAATACATCCTCTAATTCTTTTTTTTTTTTTTTTGGGAGCAACAAACACCCACAATTTACAAAATGCAGCAAATTACTCCAATATAACTAACTAAGACACAACAGCCCATAAATATTGAACTTCAAAAAAGAAAGCTACTGTTAGAGCATTTCGAATGGCATCTCTAAAATTTGGGTCTCCAAATTTGTCATGTCAAAAATTTTCAATATTCGGTTAGCATATCCGAGAGTAACACGTTTTTGACTCTTTAAATTTTAGCTATCGCAGGTGCTCCAATGGTGCGTTTTCGCTTTACAAAAATTGAAATATTTTAATATTTTTAAATATTCTAATAAATTGTATTTTTTGACATTTTGATAAACTGCTATAATGGCTATATCATACAAAAACTATTAAACAATACAATATTTATTATGGATTAGAAAAATTAAAACAATACAATACTATATGATTTTTTTAATAAAAAAATAAACAATACAATACCATTATTAAAATGAACTAGAAAAAATAACAACCATATGACACTTTTTTTCCTTTTTTTAAAAAACAATCATATGGCACAATCATATACAATACTTTTTTTCCTATTTAAAAAAGCACTCCTCTTTTTATTTTTATTTTTACTTTTTTTGTCCAAAAAAAAACCTTTAAGGCACTATTTATGTTGGTCAAACAGTGCCTCAATGGTTCTTTTGTTCAATTGGGGGGTGGGGAAGAAAAAAAAATGGCCAAAAAACCCAAAAAACAGATTTCTTAAATATTTTTTCCAACGAAACATGCCCTTAACCCAATTCTGGGCTAAGGGCTACAGTGATTTGGGCTTAAAACAATTTTAAAAAAATTAAGCGGGCCTACATAAGGTAGGCTGCAATCGATAGTTGGGTCGTCGTTTTTGATGACCCATTCTGCAACCCAAATTTTTGGGCTCACCAATTGGAGACTCCATTGAACTACTTGCCTCTCTAAATTCAGCCCAAAATCTCTAAAACTTACACCATTGGACTTGCTCTTAGCAATCCATAGCTAAGTCGAGAAATTATTAGATGGTCCTGGTCCATTAATACTTGGTGTACTAGTTAAATACAGACTCTAGGATTGAGAAAATGACTCCACAAGAGTGTATTAATAAATTACAAAATTTTATGATTGAAGGGTTTTCATTGAATTAGTTCACCAAGTGTCAAATAGACCAGGACCATCTAATAATTTCTCAAGCTAAGTCACATAATCGTTCTCAATAGGTGTCGCTTTCATGCTCCGAGCGCGCTCCCGCTCCCATGCTCCGCGCGTGCTCTCGCTCAAATTCTCATTACTTATGACTTAAATTTGCCATTCTCACGCTCTCGCTCTCGAATTCGCTTTCGCACTCGCTCCCGCTTTATGTAACTTAGCTCCATAGATATATGCTGGCCTCCAAAGTTTTCTATCCCTATTTTTTCTGTGTTATGATTTGTTACTTTGTTGTTTTTGTTTTTATTCAAATCTCAATCTTCTTGCCAAAACCCAACTTCATCTCAGTATTGGTTAGAAATCATAGCAACTCGATGTAATTGGTCCAAAATCAAAATCAATCCAGCGGACAGTCTAGATCTCCTTTGGTTGTTGGTAACCATTTATTAATTTGCATGTTGTTGATCAAATGTCAGCTCTCATAATTGGCTACTTTTGTATGTTGGTATATTTAAATGGTATTTTTAATGGTATATGAGGTTGGCCTGAAGTAGTGTAGAGAGAGAGAGAGAAATCAAACCCATAAAATATTTATGCAATTTTTTTCATTAATATATATATATATATATATATATTTTTTTTTTCCTTCAATATTATAATTTATTAGAACAAGCCATTGAAGGAATATATATATATATATATATATATATATATTGTTATTGGTAAGAAACTCACATACCCACTTTGCTCATTTGGAGACTCGAACTGTTAACATTCATTTTCGGAGGTAGATGAGATACCATTGGGCCACTTACACACCCATTTTGCTCATTTAGAGACTCGAACCATTATCATTCATTTTGGAAGGTAGATGAGATACCACTAGGCCACAAGGCCCTTGGTAAAACATATACCTTTGGCTCCTCGTTATTTCCCTTTAGAAACTTACCTATCTTTCTTCATCCTCTCTCTTTGCACCCACCATCACAGAAATTATAATCTATGGGTTGTGTAATTTTACATCATATATTAACTGTTAGTCCTAAGTTAGCCAAATGAGGGTAATTTGGTATCGTTGGTAAATTGTGGTGTTTGTTGCTTCAAAAAAAAATGAGAAGGGTATTTTGCAACCTTTTGACACTAGTGGGTTTAGTGCACTAGGGCCAAAATTTAACCATACACCATCAAACCCAATCGAACCACACAAACCACTCCGACCACCCCACCCCTCCACCACCATCGTCTCTACCTCACCAAGGTCACAGAGCGGGTACACCACGACGGGAGTGACACAAATTGTTCAAGCACGATTCAAAATTAACATACTTTCCTTGAGGAGGGTTTACACTCGCTCCTTGGTTTCTCCATGAGAAATTTGGATGGTTTCTCCACCCGGGATTGTAGGTGTTAGAGAAAGGATTATGTCATGGACGAGAGAAAATAACATTAGCTTGCTCTTGGCTCATTTGGGATTGTATGTCCATGGGGACAATTTGGAGTATTATGACTTAAGCTTGAACAATTCATGTAGATTTTTAGTTTTCTTCCCTCTATCATAAAAACATGACTTAACTGAGAAGATGAAGAACGGTGCATGGAGTTTTCACTCAAATTCTCAAAACGAGTCCATAGATCATCTTCATGCTTAAATAAAAATGTACCTCCACATGAAACATCCACAATTTGCCTATGAGTATCGGATAAGCTCTCATAGAAACATTGGACAAGTTGCCACCTTCGAAGGTCATGGTATGGACACTTCCGTAATCATTGAATCTTTCCTAAGTTTCAAGGAATGGCTCTCCATGACCTTGAGAGAATCCTAGAATAGCTGTCCTTATTTGATTGGTTTTACTTATGGGGTAATACTTCTTAAGGAATTCTTATTGCATTTGTGCCCAAGAAGTAATGGTATTAGCCCCTAAATTGTTAAACCAATACTTTGCCTTATCTCGAAGTGAGAAAGGAAAAAGTTTCATTCTCAAGGCTTCTTCTGGAAAATTGGTGATTTTAACGGTAGAACACACCTTAAAGAATTCATCCAAATGTTTATATAGATCCTCATACTTCAACCCACAAAATGTTGGACACATTTGGATGATACCAGGCTTGATTTCATAATGGTTAGCCCTCACATTTGGCAAACGGTAACATGTCGGAGCATTATTGAGATTTAGAATGTAGTGATCACGAATGACCATTTGAGGATTAGGTAATAGATGAGCACCTTGAGGTGGAGGAACTACATGGGGTGGTTGAGCTATATGAGGTGGTTCGGGAAAAACCGAAGGAGGTTTGTGTTGTGCCATTGAAGTAATTGAATGATTTAGAATAGGAAGAGTTCTCCTTTCACTACCTCTTAATTTCCTAAGGGAAGACTCAATTTCTTGGTCTAGAGAAACGAGAGGATTATGAAGAGCTTTTCATCCACGCATACACAACAAATACACAACAACACAATCACAACTATAACTTCACCACCAAAACATCCACATACATTAATCCCATTTTCCTCAATTCAACAATGCAAAATTTAAAATGGCCTCGACAAAAACCTATGCTTGAACAATAATTTAAAGCAATTGATAGCCTTAACAAGGACTATCCCACAGTCAAGCGATGTGAAATGCACAATAAGAGTTCAAGATACGCTCACAAAAGGTCCAAAGCACAATGTTGTGATCCCAAAGCTTGCTTTTCTTTCAATCAAATACCTAATTGCCCATAGAAACAATGATAAGTAAAATAGTAGAAAATGAATGCTACTAGCAATCAAATAAACACTAATATTAAATTTAATTCCAATAGAACCGTCAATCCCCAGCAACGGCGCCAAAAACTTGATGCGACTCGAGTGTGTCTATCAAAAATAGGTGTTTATATGTGGCAAATGGGACATTAACTTTTATATTTATAAAACCACTAAACAACTATACGTTAGTATAGTGAGAAGGGATCGTCCACTGGGATTATTGGCTTGGAATTTAACGTACTATCAATGACTGTGAGATTGAAAAGATAGTGCTTCGTTTGATTATACACTACTATACTCATGCAATTATATGAAATGCTTTTAATTAATGGGGAAAACACATTGTAATAGAAATGTGGCTACAAGCACATATCAATAATTAAGAAGATAATACAAGTTGTAATGAATAAGCATGAACTATCAAAATCAAGCATGAAATGTCTACCTAACTACAATTACTCTAATGTGTAGCACAACCCATCAAGACTAAACATAATCCGTCAAACTAAAAGCAATTGTATCCAATAGAAACCATGCATGGCCATCACTAAGAACAATTACAAAGAGTACTCAATGTAGAGATTAACCCTCAATTAATCACGCATAAGATAATATGTAACCAATATAGAGAATCAATTGAAAAAATTATCAATATAAATCTTGGTACAACCAAGTTTGAATTCACAAGACCAAGCACTAATTACAATACATAATCGCCAAAATTGAAAAACAAAAAGGTTTAATTACACAAGCTTAGGATTCATCCAAGCCCTAAGTGAAGAACTAGCCACTCATGAAGAAGTAGATGTCATCATGGTGGTCTCACAATCCATCTTCAAGCTTGGGTTTATCATCATCTTCTTCTTCCCTGAGAGAAACCCCAGAGAGAAAAAAGTAGATCTAGAATTCTCCTTCTTCTCTAAAATCCCCCAAAAATGTCCAACCCCTTACAAAATGGCTCAATCTTTTATTTATAAGTGACTCTTGGAGGCCAGAATAAGTCAGACCCGTACATTCAAGTCAGGTAATCCCATAGACCTTGGATGCTCAAAATTGGAGCCCAAAGCACGAGCATTAAAAGATTATGCTTGACTCACGATCGATCGTGAATTTCCTGATCGTGAATTTCCTACGATCCATCGTGTTTTTGCCGGGATCGATTATAAATTTGACAACCATGATTGATTGTGAATTTGCCATAATTGATCGTGAATTCCCACTTTGTGTATTTCCGGATCTTCCCTTCTTTGATGCATTTTGATTGACTCCAAAAAGACTTTAATGGAATGAGCTGATTTCTAATGCAACACCCTGAAAATGAAAATAACGCAAATAAGTATTAAACAATTAATTAATAAAGATAGGACTAAAGTGCTAACAATCATAAGAATAAAGGCTGAAATATGCATATTTCAACACTTATCAATAGGGTATCTCTTTATCGCAAAGGAAGTACGTCTTGGATCTTCTTCGAGACACGAGTATGCTTGGGTGTAAACTTGCTTCCACTCCTATAGATCCTAATATGAAGATCTCCGCTGAGTCTAGAGATCTCCTTTCTGACCCCTTGCAGTATCAGCGCTTAGTACGAAGATTGATTTATCTTACCAACACCTATTCTGATTTGGCTTTTGCGGTTAGTGTTGTGAGCCAGTTTATGCATGCCTTTATATAACTCATATGGATACGGTATATCATATTCATGGACTTGGATTATTCTATTCTTTTAGAAAACAGGTTGGGTTATCCTGTTTCAGTGATGCAGACTATGATGGGTCCAAGACTGACAGACGTTCCACATTTGGCTTTTGTACTTTTTATGGAGACTATCTTATATCTTGGAAAAGTAAGAAACAACCTATAGTTTCGAGATCTTCAGCAGAGGATGAGTATCGTGCCATGGCTCAAGGTATTTGTGAGATTCTTTGGCTTCGATCTTTCTTGAAGGAGCTAGGGCTAGGTGAAAAACAGTCCTCAAACTTGTTTTGTGATAATAATTTAGCCATCATACTTGCTTCAGATTCTATTCTTCATGAGAGGACTAAACATATAGAGGTGGACATTCATTTTATTAAAAAGAAGGCTCGTTCGGAAATTATCAAGTCGTGCTTTGTTCGTTCCTTTAATCAGTCGCCTGATGTATTCACCAAATCTGTTGGTCCATTTTTGTTTCAATCCTTGATTACCAAGCTGGGCTTGATTGATATCTTCACTCCAGCTTGAGGGGGAGTGTTAAAATATCTTTATTTTTTTTTATTAGCTATTTTTAGCCTTTTATTAGGTGTTTTATGTAAGATCCCTATAATCATGGGATCCTGTAGATAAAATCCCCATAATTATGGGATCACGTAGATTTTGGCATATTTTCTGTCTTTCTTTGATTTGGTTTCCTTTCTTTATACTCTATTCTTGTATATAAATATAGATCTTGGCTCTCGGTTTGAATAAGCCAAAACCCAAAACTTCTTCTTTTGTCTCCATTCCCGCTCCCTGACAGTAATTTGTTTCCCTTAGTAAGAAGCACACACCTATTTACTCCTATGGGGACTTAAACCCTCACCATCCACTTTGGGAGGTAGATGAGATACCACTAGGCCACATGGTCGTTGGTTCTTTAATTGTAATTTATGTATTAAATTTAGTAGTGATAAGCCTAAAGACTACAACAACAAATATTAAACAATTCCCATGTTCTTTTATTAAAATTATTGTACTAGTAACTAGTTGTTTTGGATAGTAATGTAAATAAATAAAGTTAATCTAATCTATAAGTTATTGAGCTTATTTCTTTGTGGGCTTAGTTCAAGTTCGTGGTTTGGCTTGACACATTAGATTGTGAAAAGTATTAATTATATTTTAATACTTCTTTCATCAATAATAATGAGTATGTAACTTATTAAAATAATAAAAATAAAAACTATTAGGAATTTTCATATTAACCTTATGAGTTTAACGTACCATTGTTCAAACTCAAGTCATGTAATAAATGACTTCGTGATTAATTACTTAATACTTAAATTCGACTATCTCACGTGATGAACAAACAATATTCAAGTTTTAGAAAAGCTAAGTCCAAAATAATAATGTTCATGAATAACTCGAGTCATACCCATAAATGAAATTTATATATTGTTATTCTTATTGTTGTGATCATGATTGATTGTTATATTACATACTTAATACTTGCTAAAGGTAAATTGTAAAAGTTGTTATAGCATCAACATAGAGAAGTCCAGCATGCATGCTTATTTGCATACTATTTCCACCTCTACCTTCATATAATATATATATATATATATATATATATATATATACCTAAAAATCAAAATTTATGGAATGTCAGGGCATAATTGTCACTGGAATTGGATTCTGGTTGCGAGTTTGGATCGTAGGCAAGAAGGGCCCTGTTTTCGTTGCTATGTTCACTCCATTATCATTTATCATAACAGCCATCTTTTCAGCATTATTGTGGAATGAGGTCCTTCATTGGGGAAGGTTCAAATGCTCTCTCTTATGCTATTATATGTGTGTGCACGTGTGTGTGTGTGTGTATAATATGTATGCATACCTGCATTCTTCAACATTGATGAAAATTATTGTTATATTGGTAACAGTGTTGGTGGGATTATATTGCTAATTGGAGGCCTCTACAGCGTTTTGTGGGGAAAGAACAAAGAAGGGAAAAATAAAACAAATGAACAAAGATCAATTGCCAAAGAGGAAACCACACTGGAAAGCATTACTCGTCAATGATTAGTCGTGCACTGGCTGCAAATGGGTATAATGATACATGAACGCAATACTAATGTATTCAAAAAGACAAAAGACATCTCCTAATAGTGTGGCTTGTAGTTAAGAAACATTTAGCTTGTAACAGCTTGACAGTTATTTTTCTTTTTTTTTCTTCCCATTTTTGATTTCATACAAAAGCAAAAGCAATGTTTATGTATATAATAAGCAGCCTTATGGGGACTTGTGTGTATCTTCTTTTGTGATTGTATATAGCATTTTTGGTTATATATAAAGACTATGGACTAAATGATCATGTGTATGTTAGTTGTTGTTTAATGGTTAGTCTATGAATGGACTTTCTGGCTATGAGTTGGATTTGGCTAGTTTTGTTCCTTTACGTTGTCAAGCAGGTTGTGATTTTATTTTAGTATTGGGGATTGATTCACGCTTCAGCGGGAAGTGGGGCATGACAGTTTACTTATCCCTATTCCATTTTTTATTGATGGTTGTTGCTAGTGTGCTATTTTTAGGCAGGTTATTGAATCTAAGTTTGGGGGTATAACTTCCAACCAATTCCTTCCGTTGCCGGGTTTCATTTGCCACACTAGTATACTTTTTTCATCTCTTCCATTGTTCTCATTACACATTAAGGACAATGTGCGGTCCAAGTTTCCGGATAAGGTAGCTTTGTTGCATTTTATTCATCTTTGCAAGCATAATTGCATAAGTGAGAGTTGAGAATCATTTTGGGCTATGATTTTGATCTTTTGAAGCTGAATGCCATTTCATAGCAAGTGTTAAGAGTCTAATACTTCTTGTATGCCTATGGATGCCATTTAGGGGTAATTTTTAACGTTTTGACAACATGCTTACATTTGTGGTCCACATTGTCTTTCTTATTTATTAAGCATGCTTTGAGGATTGATTCTAGAGTACTTCATTTTATAGGCGCACACTAGCATTCGTTTTGTGGGCCATGAACTTGATTTTTTTATTGCATGGGTTTTATCCCATTTGAGTTGGTGGACTTTGAGAATTTGACAAATTTGACATATTAATCTTGCATGCCAAATAAAAAAAGTCTTTTACTGAGTAACCGAGATTCTTGCCTCATTAAGCATAGATTTCTCACGTTGAAAGGTGAAGGACTCAAATAAGAGAATAAATGTCTTTTTACTGAGTAACCGGGATTATGGCCTCATTAAGCATTGAATTATCGCGTTGAAAAGTGAAAAGTTTAGGATATGAAAAGTTGAGAGTTGTTTTGATTTGTAATCTAGTTGACTTGAGCTATTAAATCCTTAGGGGTGTCTTCACACCTAATGCCCTATAGTTGAATGTTGTTCACTATTCAAGGATTCTAGAATTGGTTTAAAGAGGCATGTTTAGCCTGATTGATTTGGGGACACCATACTTGTTTGCATAATGTTGAACATGTTGGGAAAAACTTATAAATGACTGAGATTTGCATGCTTGAGGTAGTCTTCTCTTGATGATTGTTAAAATGTGCTTTAATGCTTCATAAGGGATGTTGAGTTATGAATGTTTGTGATACCCAAATATTTTCACGTATAGGTTGGCGAGGCCCACACCCGAAAACACGGGAATATCAAAACAATTTAGTATTTAAACGAACACAAGAATACAAGAAGAATAAAAAGAATGAATAAATCGCTGAATGAAATTCTTTTGATAAAATAAAACATTCTTTACAAAAATAAATTCCATGAACTTAAAATTCTAAAATACAATTCAGGAATCTTATAAGTGAAGGACCCCTAAACCATAAACTAATAATCTACCAGTTTATACATAACATCTAAAAATAAATAACAATACTACTTAAAAGTAAACAAGATGAGTAGATGAATGACAGTCTCCCAATTGCGGATCCTCAACTTCGAGACTGAAACTTCTAATAACCTGAAAAATAAATAATAGGTTAGACCCACGAGCAAGTTCCTTTCACCAAGCCTCTGAAAACCGATAAATAAAATACCTCTAACCAAAATCATCATAATTAAAATTTTAATCTTTAATATAAGATGATACATATATATTATATATATAAATATATAAAGAATAGGTTCCTTAATATATTCCTTAAAATCCAAGACCAAAAACCATGATAAAAATTGTAAAATCTTAACTCGTGATTGTCTTAACGCCCAGTTACATTGCACAAGTTTAGCCTTTAGATTTAGTGTCCCCGCAGAGCTCACACAATTAAAAATTGTACAATCTTAACTCGTGATTGTCTTTGTATTTGACATCGTGTAAGAAAAATTATATTCCATAATTTAGTAATCAAACTTAATTACGGATGTACTATTATTATAATTTGAGTAACGTTGTAAACATAATGCTCATAACTTCCTTCTAGAACTAGCTGTTATTGAAGCTCCATCTACAAATGGATAAGACTTCTTCTTAGTGTCCAGGAGTTCTTAAAAGTAAAGGAGTAATAACTTATTTCTTCTTCTATCAAGATCAAGAAAATGGTATTACTCATTTATTTTTATTTAGTAGCCTTTACTTGCATATACAATTTTTTTTTTTTTTTCTTGCATAAAAAGAAAAAGGATTCTTATAGATTGGTTCATGTTTGAGCATCGTGCTTTACTTCTGTATTAATTTGTAATTTACAAATATTCTCCCTAATGTTAATTGTAATTTTACATTTAAAATAAGAAAAAAAAAGTTGCTTAATATTTGTATCTCATAAAAGAAATAAGAAATTTTTTTAATGACTTCAATAAATAATATTTAATAAGAACTTTTACAGAATAATTCTAAATGGTTGGTTCAAGTGGATAAGTGTAATAAGGGTCATTTGTTCACATCGGATCCGAATGAAAAAATGATTGAGCATAAATGGATGGATATGCAGTATTACCCAATAGTTTGAGTTTTTGAATAAATGTACAAGTGTTCACTCGTTACAAAAAATCACTTGACCTTAGTGGCTCACGAAGCATTAGATCTAAAGTTCCTCTTCTTTGATAAAAACAATTCCTTAAGAGGGTTAGTTGAATATCAGCTAAGAAGAAGACAAAAAAAAAAAAAAAAAGAAAAAAAATCCTACTAAATAATTAGTAAAATAGAGTCTATTTCCTTCCAAATTGAAGGTAAATGTGTGGTGTGTGAGTTTTTTAGCGGATAAACAATAATACAAAATAAAAAGAAAACTTTAATGAAAAATGTAGCATAAGGAAGAGATTAATTCTATGAGACAAACTGACAATGGAACCTGCAAAATGATTTGTAAAAGATGGTTGGGCAGTTGCTATTAAAAGGCTGACAGAAGTATCAACTACCGATGAGAGTAGAGAAAATGAGTTTTTTGACATAAAATGGAAAACTTAGACATGTTTAGCATCCAAGTACTCCATGTAACATCAATTTTAGGTTGTTGCTTTTTACATGGACTCGCCCGGTGCAGAGATGAATTATATATATATATATATATATATATATATATATATATATATATATGAATATGATAACTTCAAGTTTTCATAACCAAACTACTTGACACTTAATCTATCAGTGTTGATTTATAAACCATGATTCATGCCTGCACAACTATATGATATGAACTAGTCTCTCTTGCCAAGACAACACGCCATACAAAAAAGACTCGTTCAATAAAGATAGGGTGAGCCACACATACTATTTCATTGGTATATCCATCAAATTAAAATGCATTTTCAATAAAATTGGTCTTCATTGGAATATAAAAAACTTCTAACAAATTAAGAAAATATATATATATTTTAATTTAGTGGGCGTATCAATAACTTGAAAGGTCCGGCTCAAACGATATATACTTCGTTCAACGAATGAGGCTATTGTTATTGTGCATTTAGGGAGTGAGCTCAGTTACCTAGGGATGTCTCATTCATTTCTTTTTCTCTTCATTCCATTCAATTTTCCTAGGAAAGTAAACAATCTCTTCCTACCAAAAAGAGGAAAGTAAACAATCTATTCCCTAGTGAATTGCTTTTGATATATATATAACTTGATCAAGTTGTACGAAGTGGAAAACAAAAAAAATCTTTCGACGTACTACATACATAGTCATATTATCTTGAATTTGCCAATCAATTAAGTTTCTCTCTCTAACTCCATTAGGTAGGATGGAAGAAAATTGGATGGAAGGGAGAGAAGAAGAGATGAGTGAGACACTCCTCCCTTCTTTTTATATTTTTATTTATTTTATAACGAATTAAATCAATAAATTAAGAGCTTTTCTTTTTTCGCCTTCTTTTGTCAATATGGATTGTAATGGCTATGGAAAAGTTATTACTTAGTCCAATCAATTATCAATAGACATGAGATATGTAAGTAATTGTATAAAAAAATGTGCAAGTTTTATTCAATGTTTACTTACATATTCAATAATGAACGGTCAGGACCAATGATCTAAGGACTATAAAAAAATTCATCATGATTATGGATAGTTTGGTCTTTTTGTACAAAGTTTTAGGGTTAATTACAACCACACCCCTTGAGGTTTGCCATATTGACAGCCACATACAACTTAACCATTTTTTGGACAAAGACACCCCCTAGGTTTACAAACTTGAACAATGACACCCCAAATATGATGAAAATACATGTTTACCCTTTGACCATGTAAAATGACCAAATTACCCTCATCCAAAATATCCTTTCTTCTTCCAATTTTTAGATTTTCCCATTCATTCTGTGAGCCCTTCTTCCCTGTCGTCCATCAAGCCGCCACGAGCCCATCACCGTCCCGTCGTCGCCCTCATCCGAGCCATCCACAGCCGCAGTCCATCAAGCCGCCACAGGCCCACAGCCGAGCCCATCACCGTCCTGCCGTTGCCTTCATCCGAGCCATCCATAACCGTAGTCCATTCCTTCATCGTCTGCTCATAGCCATCGCCACCGCCACCGAGCTGAACCAACCTCACTCATCGCATCCAAGCTCTGCCACCACCAAGTCCAACTTGGAAGAGTCAACGCCGCTATCAGTCAACCGCGCCCGTCATCGCCGTTCCGAAGTCAATTGAGCCAACTGCCGCCGATTCTATCCAGCTAAGCTATCCACCGGTGTTCAGTGTTAATAGCCCGTCGCCCACAACCGAGGCCGTCTTCCCGTCGCCCACAGCCAAGGCCGTCTTAAACACGGTCGAGCCCTCACCAACCAAGCCCTCACCGGCAATCGCGAGTCCTCCATGACCGAGCCATCCACAGTCAAGCTCTCCATCGGCTAAGCACTCCATTTTGCTCGCCGGCCGTCGTCCTAAAAGTGCTTTCCGAATCGAGATAGTCACCCATCACACGAATCTAAAACCCAGCTCCACGACACTCGATGACGGCGGGCGGCTCAACCGGTGGAGGGCTCGGCCATGAGAGGAACTGCGACATGGAATCGGCAAGCAAGAATCGAGATTAGGGGTTTGAGATGGGGGTTTGAGAGATACTGTGTGTGTGTGTGTGAGATAGAGAGAAATTTGGGTTTGATTTACGGATTGGGAGGTTGAGAGAGAGAGAGATGAAATGATGAGATGAGATGAGATGAGATAATGAGATGTTGAAAGAGAGAGATGAGATGCGAGGGTAGTTTGGGTATTTTAGGTGAGGATTAAAATATATCTTAAGGCATATTAGACATTTCATGTTACTTAAGGCTGTGTTTGGCTCCGTTTTTTAAAAATAAGGTGTCATTGTTCAAGTTTGTAAATCTAGGGGGTGTCTTTGTCCAAAAAATGGCTAAGTTATATATGGCTGTCAATATAGCAAATTTCAGGGGATGTCGTTGTAATTAACCCAAAGTTTTGTTATTATTATTATTAAATTGCGTTAAAATAATGGTGGCATTTTTTACATTTCACTCCCTCTCTAGCTCGGAAGTCAGACTAGGCTATGGGGCACCTTTTTTTTTTATTTTTATTATTATTATTATTTTACCTTAGCAAAAAAGTTATATTTTTGACTCTCACCGTGAATATTCACTCTTTGATAAAAGAAAAAAAAAAAAAATTAACTGGAAAAATGAATATTGAAAATAAAAGAGACGACCGTATAGCATGTAAAACCCCTAATGAATATATAGGTGAATGTTTCATTCCAGTTGTAAACAATTTTTTATTTTTTATTTTTTATTTATTTTCAGATAGTAATTACTAATTAGTAGTATGTTACTATTAGAGAATCTTTCTTTGCAGGGGTTCACATGCCGATGGTCGAAACTAGGCGTGCTTGAAATGTCGGGACCGATGGACCATTAAGGTGTAACAAAATGACAAAATCATCCTTACACGCGCACTTATTCTTCCCGGTGATCTTTTTTTCATCCTGAAATAATTTATAATAATTGATAAATATACATTGATTATTTAGGAATATTCAATTTTAAAATTTATTGAAAAAACAAACTCTCGTGTTCTTTTCATTACGTTATTTTCTAACCGAGCTATGCTTACATTTGTCTCATACAGTGAAAAATTATAAATGGTAAGAGGAGATATATATATTTTAAGAAATACAAATTGGATACCCAAAAAACCTATAATATATTACCGAGACCAATGATCACAGAGGACGAGAATATATTCTATCACTCTGCCTTTCTTATGTTAATGTTATTCCTTGAATACACAAGTGATAACATTAACATAAGGAATGAAATTCATTATACCAAGGAATAATTTATAATAATTGATAAATCTAGATTGGTTAATTATATTCGATATTCGATTTTAAAATGTATACCGAGTTCAAACTGCTTACATATCTGTCATACATCACAGATGACGTTCAAAATGCTTACATTTCTGTCATACATCACAGATGACGTATGAGAATATATTCTATCACTATGTTATTCCTTAAATGCACAAGTGCAAAAGTGATAGTTAATTCCAATAAAAAGACCCAAACCATCATCTTCTAGAGTTCGATGTATCAATGAATGAATTTATCTTAGAAACCAACTTGCGTCTGGAGCCCAATCTATTAGCCATACCCAAAATTTTTGTTTTAAAAGAATAATAAGTCCAGTTAAATCCAAATATATTAAATTAGATGCCTTTGAGGAGAGAGTTTTGAAAATGAACTAATTAAAGGTGCCTTCGCGAAAAGAATTTTGAAAATAGCCTTATTTTCATATGAACTTTAGGAAAAGTTTTTTAGAACGTCACTAAAAGATTGTCCCTAATAACCTGATTTCTTGTAGGGGACTCTGATACTATATTAAATATAAAAGTGAGAAAGAAACTATATATTGTATTGATGTAAGATATATGGAATTTATATAGATGACGAGATGTGTGGAAAGTAAGAAACCTAAATCCTATATACTAAACCACTAAACCTATACATGGTTAAAATATATTCTACAATACAGTAATAATATATTTTACAACGTAGTAACAATATATTACGCTAACAAACAGCAAGCACTTCAATTAGTGGATATGTCCTATCATTATGCTTTGTTATCATTGTTTTAGAAGCAGATTCCTGTGTAGTACACTAGTACTCTCGAATTCCCATCAACTTGTTGAGATTTTATTAGTTAAAGCATATATCTTTCTAAAAAACTGTGGGTACGTAAGAGAATCCAATTCAAAACCCACCACTTGGATTTCAAATTCTATAGCTTTTGTAGTTTTTAAGATTGAAAGAAATGGCATGTATATATATAGGTGGGAAAGTGTTGAAGTTAGTGTAATTTGAAGACCTAAACTAAAAAGATAAGACCCTTGAAGGAAGCCAAATTATAGTAGCTAGCTAGCATGAAGAGATCACTTGGATTTCCAATTTGTGCAGATAAAAATAAGGCTTATATTGCAATTATCCTTATACAATTTATCAATGCAGGCACGGCCTTGCTCTCCAAGGCTGCAATTGTTGGAGGAATGAATTCTTATGTGTTTGCTTTTTATCCAAATGCTATTGCCACACTTGTGTTAGCTCCATTCGCATTTTTCCTCGAAAGGTACTTTGCACCAACGTACAATTCTAATTAACTCTACTGCATGCATCTGCATGTGTTTAGTTTGAATTTGCTTATGATATTAACGAACTGCTTGTTTTACTTCCTAATGTGCAGTAACAAGTCAGCCCCTCTATCATACAACATACTCTGCAAGATTTTCTTTGCTGCTTTAGTTGGGTATGCACGCAACTCCCTTTTATTTCGATCTCATGATTTACATTGGGCTATGGTTTTTTTTTTTCTTTCTTAGTTAGTACTCACACATACATGCCTTTACTGAGACTTGAACCTCTGACCTCCCTTTGAGAAGTAGGAGTCTGGTACCAAGGCCTTTTGATGCATTGGGCTAGGTTTATGATGTTTGGTGAGCTAATGTTTAACTTGTAATATAATTAATTTTTTTTACAATTTCAGGTTCACTGTCTGTCCTAATCTCTTCAATTTGGCTTTAAAGTACACCACTGCAACATATGCTTCTGCCAGCATGAACACAATTCCGGCCATTACATTTATCATGGCAGTTTTCTTAAGGTAAAGCCAATATATATATATATATATATATATATATATATATATATAGAAAAATAAAAAATCAATCATCAAATATTTTCGAAAAAATAATCAACGTACTTTTTCTTTAAGGAAAGTACAACTTAAAGTCTGCATGATTTTGAACATTTCAGGATGGAAAGTGTATCTCTGAGGCAATGGCATGGAAGAGCCAAAGTGTTGGGTTCTATGATGCTTCTTTCTGGGGCTATAGTGTTAATACTTTTTAAGGGGTCTCCTATTTATTCAGGCACCAAGAAAGGAGCTTCAAACGCATCAATAAACCATATTTCCAGAGGAAACTGGATAAAAGGTGCTCTAATCATGCTCTCATCCAACTTAACATGGTCCATGTGGCTTATTTTGCAGGTTCATCTCTTCTATCTCTATCTATATTCGTGTGTGTGAAGTACGTTGTGATCTAAATTTTGTTTCCATCTTTGTCCCTTTTTATCTAATGTCGTGAACTCGAATTATAATATCTGTTGTAACTCAATATATAAGGGTGTTTGGGTCTTTAACTTGGATATGACAAAATACCTGGACTCTGAAAGAAAAAGGATTAGGGATTGAGAACTTAAAATCTTCATTTTTCTTTGCATAATGAAAACTTTTCGTCTGTCTTCAATGGGGATGTGACTTCGAACATCGCGTGGGTGAGGTTAGCATTTATTTGTGAATACCTCCTAAATGTGTAGAGAGAAGAGATCGAAGGTAAATCTTTGTGTATTGATTTCGGCTGTCCTAACAATATATTATAAAATTAAAAAAGCTTCTTCAGTATGGTTTTTGTTCTTGCTTTTAGGCCCCCATTGTGAAGCAATATCCATCCACACTACGTCTTGCAATTCTACAGTACTTCTTTAGCAGTATACAATCAGCAATATGGGCGGTCGCGATGAACAGGAAGATATCATCATGGAAGCTTGGTTGGGATGTGAATCTCATCTCCGTGCTGTTTTGTGTAAGTTCTTCATCCCTTACACAACTAATCTTGTGAAAGAAAGTTTTATCTATTTATATTCAAATCGACTTTGGTATCTTAAATTTTTGGCCTTAGTGCACTAAGTCCCCCACTAATTTCAGAAAGTTGCATAATACATCCTCTACATTTTTTTTTTTTGGAGCAACAAACACCCACAATTTACAAAATGCAGCAAATTACTCCAATTTAACTTAGTAAGGCACAACAACCCATAAATATAGAACTTCCAAAAAGAAAGCTGTTATTAGAGCATCTTCAATGGCATCTATAAAATTTGGGTCTCCAAATTTGTCATGTCAACATTTTTCAATATCCTGTTAGCATTTCCAAGAGTCATGTCAGCATTTTTGACTCTCTAAATTTTAGCTATCGCAGGTACTCTAATGGTGCGTTTTCGCTCTCTAAAAATTAAAATATTTTAATATTTTTAAATTTTTTAATACATTGTATTTTTATTTTTATTTTAATTAATTAATTAATTTATTTTTTGACATTTTGATAAACTGCTATAATGGCTATATCATACAAAAACTATTAAACAATACAATATTTATTATGGATTAGAAAAATTAAAACAATACAATACTATATGATTTTTTTTTTTATATAAAAAAATAAACAATACAATACCATTATTAAAATGAACTAGAAAAAATAACAACCATATGACACCTTTTTTCCTTTTTTTAAAGAACAATCATATGGCACAATCGTATACAATATTTTTTTTCCTATTTAAAAAAGCACTCCGCTTTTTATTTTTTATTTTTACTTTTTTTGCCAAAAAAACGTCAGTCAAACAGTGCCTTAACGGTTCTTTTGTTCAATTGTGTTGAGGGAGGGAAAAAAAAAAAAAGAAAAAAAAAGGGCCAAAAAAACCCAAAAAACAAGTTTCTTGAATATTTTTTCTAGCCAAACATGCCTTTAACCCAATTCTGGGCTAAGGGCTACAATGATTTGGGCCTAAAACAATTTGTTAAAAAAATTAAGTGGGCCTGCATAAGGTAGGCCGCAATCGCCAATTAGGTCGCTGTTTTTGGTGACCCATTCCGCAACCCAAATTTTCGGGCTCACCAACTAGAGACTCCATTGAAGTACTTGCCTCTCTAAATTGGGCTAAAATCTCTAAAACTTACACCATTGGACTTGCTCTTAGCACTCCATAGCTAAGTCGAGAAATTATGAGATGGTCTTGGTCTATTAACACCTGGTAGACTAGTTAAATATAAACTCTAGGATTGAGAAAATGACCTAACAAGAGTGTATTAATAAATTACAAAATTTTATGATCGGAGGGTTTTTATTAAATTAGTCCACCAAGTGTCAAATAGACCAAGACCATCTAATAATTTCTCAAGCTAAGTCAATAATCATTCTCGATAGGTGTCGCTCTCACGTTCCGAGCGCGCTCTCGCTCTCAAGCTCCGCGCGCGCTCTTACTCAAATTCTCATTACTTATGACTTAATTCTGCCATTCTTAAGCTCCCGCTCTCAAATTCGCTCTCGTACGCGCTCCCGTTTTATGTAACTTAGCTCCATATATATATACTTGGCCCTCCAAAGTTTTCTATCCTTATTTTTTCTATGTTATGATTTGTTACTTTATTGTTTTTGTTTTTATTAAAATCTCAATCTTCTTGCCAAAACCCAACTTCACCTTAGTATTGGTCAAAAATCATAGCAACTCGATCTAATTGATCCAAAATCAAAATCAATCCAGAGGACAGTCTAGATCTCCTTTGGCTATTGGTAACCATTTATTAATTTGCATGTTGTTGATCAAATGTCAGCTCTCATAATTGGCTGCTTTTGTATGTTGGTATATTTAAATGCTATTTTTAATGGTATATGAGGTTGGCCTAAAGTAGTGTAGAGAAAGAGAGAGAAATCAAACCCATAAAATATTTATGCAATTTTTTTCATTAATATATATATATATATATATATATATATATATATATATATATATTGTTATTGGTAAGAAACTCACACACTCCGTCACTCACACACCCACTTTGCTCATTTGGAGGTTCGAACCATTAACATTCATTTTCGGAGGTAGATGAGATACCATTGGGCCACTTACACACCCACTTTGCTCATTTAGAGACTCGAACCATTACCATTCATTTTGGAAGGTAGATGAGATACCACTGGACCACAAGGCCCTTGATAAAACTATATACCTCTGGCACCTCGTTATTTCCCTTCAGAAACTTACCTATCTTTCTTCATCCTCTCTCTTTCCACCTACCATCACAGAAATTATAATCTATGCGTTGTGTAATTTTACATCATACATTAACTGTTGGTCCTTAATTAGCCAAGTGAGGGTAATTTGGTACTGTTGGTAAATTATGGTGTTTGTTGCTTCAAAAAAAATGAAAGGGGTATTTTGCAACCTTTTGAAACCAGTGGGTTTAGTGCATTAAGGCCTAAATTTAACCATACGACATCAAACCCAATTGAACCACACAAACCACTCCGACCACCCCACCCCACCCTGCCACCACCATCGTCTCTACCTCACCAAGGTTACAGAGCGGGTACACTACAACGGGAGTGACACAAATTGTTCAAGCACAAATCAAAATTAACATACTTTCCTTTAGAAGGGTTTACACTCGCTCTTTGGTTTCTCCATGAGAAATTTGGATGGTTTTTCCACCTGGGATTGTAGGTGTTAGAGAAAGGATTATGTCATAGATGAAATAAAGTAGCATTAGCTTGCTCTTGAGGCTCATTTGGGATTGCATGACCATGAGGACAATTTAGAATATTATGACTTAAGCTTGAACAATTCATGCATGTTTCATTTTGAACTCGGGGAGGAGAGAATGATTGATTTTCCGAAGTTTGACTCAAAAGGAATTGATCAAACCTTTAAGTAAGATTTTTGACCTTGGCGGCAATCTCAATAGACCAATCTACATGATATAGATTTTCAGTTTTCTTCCCCCTATCATAAAAACATGACCTAACCGAGAAGATGAAGAATGGTGCATAGAGTTTTCACTCAAATTTTCAAAAAGAGTCTATAGATCATCTTCATGCTTAAATAAAAATGTACCTCCACATGAAACAACCACAATTTGCCTATGAGTATCGGATAAGCTCTAATAGAAACATTGGACAAGTTGCCACTTTCGAAGGTCATGATGTGGACACTTCTGTAGCAAATCATTCAATTTTTCCCAAGCTTCATGGAATGACTCTCCATCACCTTGAGAGAATCCTAGAATAGCTGTCCTCTACTTACGGGGTAGTACTTCTTAAGGAATTCTTGTTGCATTTGTGCCCAAGAAGTGATGGTATTAGTCCATAAATTGTTAAACCAATACTTTGCCTTATCTCAGAGTGAGAAAGGAAAAAGTTTCATTCCCAAGGCTTCTTCTGGAAAATTGGTGATTTTAATGGTAAAACACACCTTAAGGAATTCATCCAAATGTTTATATGGATCTTCATAATTCAACCCACAAAATGTTGGACCCATTTGGATGATACCGGGCTTGATTTCATAATGGTTAGCCCTCACATTTGGTAAGCGGTAACATATCGAAGCATTATAGAGATTTGGAGTGTAATGATCATGAAGGACCATTTGAGGATTAGGTAATGGATGAATACCTTGAGGTGGAGGAACTACATGAGATGGTTGAGCTATACGAGGTGGTTCGGGAAGAACCGGAGGAGGGTTGTGTTATGCCATTGAAGTAATTAAATGATTTAGAATAGGAAGAGTTCTCTTTTCACTACCTCTTAATTTCCTAAGGGAAGACTTAATTTCTTGGTCTAGAGAAACGAAAGGATTATGAAGAGCTCTTCTTCCACGTATACACAACAAGCACACAACAACACAATCACAACTACAACTTCACCACCAAAACATCCACATATATTGATCCCATTTTCCTCAATTCAACAATGCAAAATCTAAAATGGACTCGACAAAGGCCTATGATTGAACAATAATTTAAAGCAATTGATAGCATCAACAAGGATTATCCCATAATTAAGCTATGAGAAATGCACAATAAGAATTCAAGATACGTTCACAAAAGGTCCAAAGCACAATGCCGTGATCCCAAAGCTTGTTTCTCTTTCAATCAAGTACCTAATTGCACATAGAAACAATGATAAGAAAAATAGTAGAAAATGAATCCTACTAGCAATCAAATAAACATTAATATTAAATTCAATTCCAATAGAACCGTCAATCCCCAATAACGGCGCCAAAAACTTAATGCGACTCAAGTGTGTTTATCAAAAATAGGTGTTTATATGTGGCAAATGGGACATCAACTTTTATATTTATAAAACCACTAAACAACTATACGTTAATATGGTGAGAAGGGATCGTCCACTAAGATTATTGGCTTGGAATTTAACTTAATATCAATGACTGTGAGATTGAAAAGATAGTGATTGGTTTGATTATACTAATAATGATTTTTCTATGTAGAGCATGCAAATGAAATAAAGCTAAAGTAAACTTGGATTAAGGTAATAAAGAGAAAGGCTTAGGGCATGGATTATACTACTATACTCATGCAATTATACGAAATGCCTTCAATTAATGGGAAAAACACATTGTAATAGAAATATGGCTACAAGCACACATCAATAATCAAGAAGATAATACAAGTTGTAATGAATAAGCATGAACTATCAAAATCAAGTATGAATTGTCTACCTAACTATAATTACTCTAAGGTGTAGCACTACCCATCAAGACTAAGCATAATCTATCAAATTAAAAGCAATTATATCCAATAGAAACCATGCATGGCCATCACTAAGTACAATTACAAAGAGTACTCAATGTAGAAATTAACCTCAATTAATTACACATAAGATAACATGTAACCAATATAGAGAATCAATTGAAAAAAATTATCAATATAAACCTTGGTACAACCAAGTTTGAATTCACAAGACCAGGCACTAGTTATAATACATAATCCCTAAAATTGAAAAACAAAAGGTTTAATTACACAAGCTTATGGCTCATCCAAGCCCTAAGTGAAGAACTAGCCACTCACGAAGAAGGTAGATGTCATCACAATGGTCTTACAATCCATCTCCAAGCTTGGGTTAATTATCTTCTTCTTCTTCCTTGAGAGAAACCCTAGAGAGAAAAATAGATCTAGAATTCTCCTTCTTCTCTAAAATCCCCTAAAAATGTCCAACCCATACAAAATGGCTTAATCTTCTATTTATAGGTGACTTTTAGAGGCCATAATAAGTCAAACTCGTATATTCAACTCAAGCAATCCCATATATCCTGGATTCTCGAAATTGGAGCCCAAAACATGAGCATTAAATGATTCTGCTAGACTCGCGATCGATCGTGTATTTTAAATGATTGATCATGTTTTTGCCAGGATCGATCATAAATTTGACAGCCATGATTGATCAAAAATTTTCCAGGATCGATCGTGAATTCCCACTTCGTCTATTTCTGGAGCTTCCCTTCTTTGATGCATTTTGATTGATTCCAAAAAGATTTTAATGCAATGAACTGATTTCTAATGCAACAACCTGAAAATGAAAATAACGCAAATAAGTACTAAACAATGAATAAAGATAGGACTAAAGCGCTAACAATCATAAGAATAAAGGCTGAAATGTGCTTATTTCGGCACTTATCAATAAGGTATCTCTTTATCGCAAAGTAAGTATGTCTTGGATCTTCTTCGAGACACGAGTATGCTTGGGTGTAAACCTGCTTCCACTCTTATTGATCCTAATCTGAAGATCTCAGCGGAGTCTAGAGATCTCCTTTCTGACCCCTCGTAGTATTAGCGCTTTGTATGAAGATTGATTTATCTTACCAACACCTGTTCTGATTTGGCTTTTGCGGTTAGTGTTGTGAGCCAGTTTGTGCATGCTCTTCGTACAGCTCATATGGATGCGGTATATCATATTCTTCGATATCTAAAGTCCTATCATGGACTTAGATTATTCTATTCTTCTAGAAAACAGGTTGGGTTATCTTGTTTCAGTGATGCAGACTATGCTGGGTCCAAGACTGAGAGACGTTCCACATCTGGCTTCTGTACTTTTTATGGAGACTATTTTATATCCTAGAAAAGTAAGAAACAACCTGTAGTTTCAATATCTTCAGCAGAGGCCAAGTATCGTGCCATGGCTACTTGTGAGATTCTCTTGCTTCAATATTTCTTAGAGGAGCTAGGGTTAGGTGAAAAACAGTCTTCAAACTTGTTTTGTGATAATAATTCAGCCATCATGCTTGTTTTAGATTCTATTCTTCATGAGAGGACTAAACATATAGAGGTGGACATTCATTTTATCAAAAGGAATGTTTGTTCCGGAATTATCAAGTAGTGCTTTGTTTATTCCTTTAATCAGTCGGCCGATGTATTCACCAAATCTGTTGGTCTATCTTTGCTTCAATCCTCGATTACCAAGCTGGGTTTGATTGATATCTTCACTCTAGCTTGAGGGGGAGGGTTAAAATATCTTTATTTTTTTATCAGCTATTTTTTGCCTTTTATTAGGTATTTTATGTAAGATCCTTATAATAATAGGATCACGTAGATAAGATCCCCATAATTATAGGATCCTGTAGATAAGATCCCCATAATCATGCGATCACGTAAATTTTGGCATATTTTCTATCTTTCTTTGATTTGGCTTCATTTCTTTATACCCTATTCTTGTATATAAATATAGATCTTGGCTCTCGGTTTGAGTAAGCCAAAACCCAAAACTTCTTCTTTTGTCTCTTTTGCTGCTCCCTGATAGTAATTTGTTTTCCTTGGTAAGAAGCGCATATCTATTTACCCCTATGGGGACTTGAACCTTCACCATCCACTTTGGGAGATAGATGAGATACCACTAGGCCACATTTACCCCTATGAGGACTTGAACCCTCACCATCCACTTTGGGAGGTAGATGAGATACCACTAGGTCACATGGTCATTGGTTCTCTAATAGTAATTTATGTATTAAATTTAGAAGTAATAAGCCTAAAGACTACAACAACAAATATTAAACAATTCCCATGTTCTTTTATTAAAATTATTCTACTAGTAACTAGTTGTTTTGGATAGTAGGGTAAATAAATAGAGTTAACCTAATCTATAAGTTCTTGAGCTTATTTCTTTATGGGCTTAGTTCAAGCTTGTGGTTTGGCTTGACACATTAGCTTGTGAAAAGTATTAATTATATTTTAATACTTTTTCATCAACAATAATGAGTATGTAACTTATTAAAATAACAAAAATAAAAACTATTTGGAATTTTCATATTAACCTAATGAGTTTAACGTACCATTGTTCAAACTCAAGTCATGTAATAAATGACTTCGTAATTAATTACTTAATACTTAAATTCGACTATCTCACGTGATGAACAAACAATATTCAAGTTTTAGAAAAGCTAAGTCCAAAATAATAATGTTCATGAATAACTCGAGTCATACCCATGGATGAAATTTATGTATTGTTATTCTTATTGTTGTGATCATGATTGATTGTTATATTACATACTTAATACTTGCTAAAGGTAAATTGTAAAAGTTGTTATAGCATCAACATAGAGAAGTCCAGCATGCATGCTTACTTGCATACTATTTCCACCTCTACCTTCATATAATATATATATATATATATATATATATATACACACACACACACACACACACGAATACCTAAAAATCAAAATTTATGGAATGTCAGGGCATAATTGTCACTGGAATTGGAGTTTGGTTGCGAGTTTGGATCGTAGGCAAGGAGGGCCCTGTTTTCATTGCTATGTTCACTCCATTATCATTTATCATAACAGCCATCTTTTCAGCATTATTGTGGAATGAGGTCCTTCATTGGGGAAGGTTCAAATGCTCTCTCTTATGGTATTATATGTGTGTGCACGTGGGTGTGTGTATAATATGTATGCATACCAGCATTCTTCAATATTGATGACAATTGTTGTTATATTGGTAACAGTGTTGGTGGGATTATATTACTAATTGGAGGCCTCTACAGCATTTTGTGGGGAAAGAACAAAGAAGGGAACAATAAAACAAATGAACAAAGATCAATTATCAAAGAAGAAACCACATTGGAGAGCATTACTCATCAATGATTAGTTGTGCACTGGCTGCAAATGGGTATAATGATAACATGAATGCAATACTAATGTATTCAAAAAGACAAAAGACATCTCCTAATAGTGTGGCTTGTAGTTAAGAAACATTTAGCTTGTAACAGCTTGATAGTTGCTTTTCTTTTTTTTCTTCCCATTTTTGATTTCATACAAAAACAAATGCAATGTTTATGTATATAAAAAGCAGCCTAGTGCGGACTTGTGTGTATCTCCTTTTGTGATTGTATATAGCACTTTTGGTTATATATAAAACTGTGGACTAAATGATCACGTATATGTTAGTTGTTGTTTAAGGGTTAGTCTATGAATGGACTTTTTGGCTATGAGTTGGATTTGGCTAGTTTTGTTCCTTTACGTTGTCAAGCAAGTTGTGATTTTATTTTAGCATTGGTGATTGATTCACGCTTCAGCGGGAAGCGGGGCATGACAGTTTAGTTATCCCTATTCCATTTTTTATTGATGGTTGTTGCTAATGTACTATTTTCAGGTAGGTTATTGAATCTAAGTATGGGGGTGCAACTTCCTACCAACTGGATCCTTCTGTTGCTAGGTTTCATTTGTCACATTGGTATACTTTTTTCATCTCTTCCATTGTTTTCATTCCACATTGAGGACAATGTGCAATTTAAGTTTTCGGTTAAGGTAGCTTTGTTGTATTTTATTCATCTTTGCAAGCTTAATTGCATATGTAACGACCCGGCCATTTGCCTTCCTTTCTTTTTTCCTAAAATTTTACGAATGAATTTTTTTCGTTTAATTTTCCTTTCTGAGCTCTGTTTCATGTCGCTTAGTGTCATCTCAAGTGCTCGGAATTGGTTTCTGAGACTCTTTCATGTGAATTGACAACTTCCTTTGAGGACCGAGTCATTTTCACATTTTTTATTTTTCGATACTATACGCTATTTCGTCCTTTTCCCTATTTCGTCTTATCTCTGTTTGTCAGTTTTTGGCACAACCTCACTTTTCAAGCTCGGAGTTGGTTTTTGACTTCAAGTATCCTTATCGTGAGTGGTTTCCACGAAATATGTATCTTTACTTTTGCAAGAAAGTACTCTGGTTGCTCTCGGTGCCCATAGAGGCATGGATGCATAAATCTTTGGAATTAATTTCATTTCTTGGGGTGTTTTTCATAAATATCTTTTGAAGATATTTTATTTCAGGAGTTTTTAAGAAAATATTTTTGAAAGATATTTTCATTCTGGGCCATAAGTGCAATTTTCACTTTTTGGAGGGGCCATTGTGCAATTAATGAAAGTTATTGCAAAATGTCTTGTTTTGAGCCTGAATCCTCGTACTGGATTCATTTTCATATTTCGTCGAGTTGTGTACTCTTGGAATTTCCTCCTGGTCGATATTTTCCAGTTTCAGGGTTTCTGGCCCCGGTTTTTGCCAAACTTGTTTTGGGCATAACTTTCTGCTCGAGACTCAGTTTTTGACGTTATTTCTTCCATTATTCATATTTTATCATTTTGAATCTTTTTTGTTCACAAAGTTTTGCCATTTGAGCGCGTCTGCTCAAATTTTACTTTTTCGGACCTAGTGGGGCCCGTTCGGGGCACTTTTTGAGATTTCTATAAAATGGGGGTGAGATATTTCATTTTTCATCTTCTCCCCTCTTCATGCACGACCTGGAGCTCCCATGGCTGCCCAAGGGGTGCTGCCATCTTCTCTCTCCTCTTTTGGTTCACTTTTCCTTGATGGAAAGTCTTCGGCCTTAACGTTTGATGTTCCCCTCGCCGTGCTCTACCTTTCCCCCTTATTAGAATTCAGTTTTGACCATTTCTTGAGTTTGGTTTTGAAGTCAAGTTACGATTTCGATGGGGCTTTCATGGGGTTATGTTCACGGCGTTGTCCCCGACAAAACCTAGTAGTTTCGTCGGATTCGGAACCGTTCCATTTTGATGGCATTTGAGATTTTCATCTCAAATTGAGGTAGGAGATGTTCTAGGTTTAAATTCTTGTTATATAGCATGCTTGTGATGCTTATACTACTTGTTTACATGATTAAATATAAAATTTAGAGATTTTATTATTTATTTTTCTTGTACGGGATCTAATTTTTCCGGTTGCTCATAACTTGGTTTAAACATGTAGCATGATTTTATATTGCCCCTTGATATGCTCATTGTCGTGTATTAAAATTGGAACATTTGAATAAGTATTAAAGATTTTATTTAATATTTATCTTAGGTGAAAGATTAATTCACATGGCCTTAACTAGCTTGAAATTAATATGTGTTAGCATATTACATTAGGCCTTAGCATGCTCTTCAACATAGTTGAATTTGAAAGTAATTGGAAATGTTTTGAAAATTAGTAATTATTAATTAATTTGATTAATTTATTTGCCCCGAGTGCACTATTCACTCCATTCGAATTCCGACTTGATATTCTTGATCTACATGCCATATAGCTTCACATATATTTGATTAGAATATTCGGTGAGGTTTTGAAACCTTTCATTTAATTAATTTCCTTGTTTAAGATTTAATCTTCATGGTGATATACAACTTGGAATTGAATTGTGGCATGCTAGAAAATTAAGCTTTGGTGTGGTTGTTCACATGTATTAAATTGGGATTAATTGCATGAGAATTGCAACCTTTATTTTATATTTAACTTTAGTGAAAGTTTAATTTACATAGGTGTAACTTGCATGAAATAAGCTTTAAACGTGATATTACATTAGTCCTTGGCATGTTCTCTAAGATATGTTAAATTGAGAGCATTTGGTTAAGTTTGAAAAATCTCGAGATTTTAATTAAAAGAATTAATTAAAATCTATTTCGTGGTCCCATTAGCTTAATTAAGGTTTTAACTTGATATTTGTATTGGCCATGACTTGTTTACTAGTATATATTAATTTGGGACTATTAGAAGTTATTTTAGAACCTTGGGATTTAAATTAGCATGATTTAATTAAAGTTCTACTTTGTTGTTCTAACAACCTAATTGAGTTTTAGAATGAATATAGGTGATGACCTTGCCATGCCCTTTAACATGTATTAAATTGAGGTTAATTGAAATTGAATCGGAAATCTAGAGAATTTAATTGTGTTTATCTATTTAAATTCTATCAATTTACTCCATGATCTAGTTATGTTTTAGAAGTGGTTTCTATATTCAAATCATGGACTTAGACTTGTTGTATATTCATTTGGTTATGTTTTGAACATTGGATAACATAGTTGCTATGTTTGTATTCATGAGAATATGTTTTCCTTATTGAATATATTGTTGCCTTGTGTAATGATTTGCACACTTCGTATTTAACATCATTTATGCATAGCGTGTAACGAATCGCACACTGAAGATTCTACATTCATTACATCATATTAGTTGTGGACTTAGAGCATAAATTGTATAGGTTTCCAAATTTGGTTGTGCTTGGTAGATAGTTGATTATCTTGCATATTCATGTTGATATATGCGTTGTTGCACAACTTGTTGATTTTGGAAACTTGGGGAAGTCGTTGTTTGACTATGGCTAGGACGTGGTTCTAGTACGGGGGATAGTCCCTCTATATATAGTCTAGTGCGCACATAGGGAGGTTACCCATGGGCTAGTAACCCTAAAGTAACTATGTTGTCGGTCTGATCCGGCGTGACATCCGAGTATCCACTTTGTTTGATTTCGCATTGCATTTTCAAGTTGATAACTAGATGATGTTGTAACTTATTGTTTCTTATTTGTCGTTCCATTTTAAGTTACAGGATGTTAACTTTGCGAAATTGTGCTTTATGCGTTGTATTGGAAGTTCCAATGTTGGTTAAATTGCATCGATATTGAAAATCGTGTTTTGACGTTCTAATAAAGCTTAGGATTGATCCTATTGATTCATTTATAACATAGACGTTAGGTGGCATGAACCACTACTGTTATTTTGTGCTTTAGATTCTAAGTTGATGGCTTTGAGAACTTAAACCTTGCTGCATTGTATAACATGCTCTTTTGTTGTTGAATTGCATGGATAATGTGATTCTTGTTTATTTGTATTCAAATATGATTTTGTTATGTTGTATGGATTACTCTAGACCTAGTTCAATTGTATTGAAAATGCAATTCATGTTAATATATGCTCAAACATTCTTCTTGTCGTGTTCTTTAGATTATCCCAACCATGATTCGTTTCATACACGTATGTATATCATGATTCTTGTTGCTTAGACTCTAAGGTAGCTTAGGATGCTCCCCTAGTTTCACTTGGACATAGACGTTAGGTGGCATGAGCCCCTTTAACATGTTTCACCTTAAGGTGATAAATTTGTAAAATGCTAGGTCGATGCATGCTCATCTCCTATGAGTAGCTTTATGTTACTCACCCCTACAATACTGGGGCATATTTCTGGTACGAAGACTTGGTTCGTGAAGCTTAGCATTCCTTGGATGTCGAGTAGCTTTCAAGTTTCCATTTCATGCAAATGTTAGCATGAAATGTCATTTTGTAGACTTATATGTCAAAATATGTATGTTTGATTCCATGTATGTAATGTGTACTTAAGTACACTCCTTTCAATGTATTTGATATGTATGAGATGAGGCCGGAGGCCAATGACATGTATATTGTATTCTATGCAACTTTTTAACTTCATGAAATGTTATGAAAAACTTGAAAAATCGCAAGTCATTGCTTCACCACGGTTGCATCGGGTGTGGGAATTCCATTTTCATTCTTTTATAGGGTCTTATTAATCTTGTATGAAGTGTGGCCAAGGGCCAAACGGTCATTTGATCCCGTTTTGCATTTTTGGATTCCATGTTTTCCATTCCAAGTCCATTTTTGCCTTTTTGCTCGTTGGGGGGTCGGATTTTGCATCGGCTATATTTTTAAGCCATGGACCATTGTAGCGCATCTAAATAGGTAAGTTATGTTTGCGTGCATAGTCGTTTCCGGGCAAAACCTCATCGTTTGTGTTTTGAGCCTCTTGTGAATTCATTTCACATTTTTTTTTTTGTATATTATGATCTAGGGGCATTATGGACCTTTCACCTCAGTTTTATTTTCTTTTTTCGACATGGTCGCTTAGAAAACGTGATTTTAGGGGGGGGGTTTCTTTTTCGTGTTTTTCCAGAAAAGGTCGTCTTGGTGCCGAAAATCGATCGCAAAGTTCAGCTTTCTGTTATGCATATAGCAGCTTTTTAATCCTCTTGCCCTTTTCTGATCTAGGGGCATTCTGGGTACTTTATAGTGTTTATTTTTCATTTTA